GCACCGAAGATGCATCGGTTCAAGCCAGCGTACGGGAAGCCGTGGGTGACATGGTGCACTTTCTCAAAAAGACTTCCGAGACTTTCTTTGATGAGCCCGAAGATGAAGTCATTGAGAACAAGGGAATTCCCGATGAATTGCCCAAGCCGTCGTCTTCGCGACGAGTACCGTCCGAAGCCGAAGTGGATTCCAATTGGACCGAAAAGGAAGAAGCCGTCTCCAAGAAAAAGTGGAGGAAGCGCCGGTGGTTCAAGAAGATGCTGGGCAAATAAATATAAAGAGGCGAACGAACGGCAGCCATCCAGCCATGCTGGCTGCAGCCACGGAAGTGAGAATGCGCAGATGGAAGCTCATTGCATGAGACGACGAGAACGCTACTACGGCGCGAACATAGTTGTCGCATCCAATCAAGACCACTCTCTTCCAACCTTCCTCCAGACCTCCTCCTGTCGTCACAGGAGTATATTCTTCTCTGGAGTCTCTCTTGACACACTAATCATACTGACCGTAGTAGTTCCATGTTGTTCATATCTTTCTAGTGCTGTTCTCTCTTTTTGTTCGCGATGACGCCAGAACTGTGGGTCGGACGGACGTCAACATCACCGAGGAGGGGACCAATTGGACGAGTCGAGTCAAGTGCAGGAGTGCCAAGCAGGAGTGCCAAACACCTGTGTTCAGATCTTGACTCTGAGCGAAGTGGACGGGATATCAGGTCTTCCATCCTCTGTCGCCCCTTGCTTCTTGGACGTCCTGCGGCCACCACTCGCTGTCTGTAGAGGCAAGCACCTGAGCAGGACGGCATCATCGCCACTGCACAGCTACCATGTACAGAAGCAGACCACCATCCCGAAAGTTCACTTAGCTACGTCGGTACTGAGTAGTAGTTTCAGAGAGTCCGTTCTTCATGCCAGTGCCTGTAGTTTTGATGCTGTGACTAGCTAGAAACAAAGCAAGAAGGCCAAGTATCACCTCTAGCTAGCCAAATTTACCATGCATCCAAGCAGCTATCAATCCTAGCAATCGCCTGCACCTCGAACTGCATTGCCCACTGTAGCTCGCTGTGCTTTCAGCAAGCAGTTCCAAAAAATAAGGCGGCCAACCATCACACTCCGTCCAAGACGACCTTGATAGCCAAACGCATTGATAATGTGGGAATGGCTGGCTCTACCAGGTATTCAGTAGCTAGCTATGGGTGTCTGATGCCTGATGCCGCGGATAGAAAAGAACTTACCGGTCCAGTCGTCCAGTCATCATCCAGACAATGGGTGGGGTCAAGCCCATAGTTAGGCAAGTGTGGAGGAAGCAAGAGGCATTTGGTTTACCGGTAGCCATGTTGACCCTGAACCAAAAATTGAAGCCCAGGTCTTGCAAAGCAATCGTTCTTGTTCTTGCAAAGTCGTTCTTACGGCTCGCCGAGATATTCTTACAGGGCGGTTGAAGGGCAACAGGGCAACGCCGTCCTTTCCAGACCGCCCGGGGAGGAGATCCAGAGGTGCTAGAAGTAGTCTAGCCACAATGGTTTCTGTGGGTACGGTTCTCTTTAGCCAGAGCCTAGTAGCCCAAAGCCAACCCAAGAGGAAGAGAGTCTTGCTGCATCTGCTGCTGGAGCCTTGCTGCCCCACCAAACAGCCCAAGGTAGCCCTCTCATGGGGGAAAACCAGACAGTGGCTTGCTAGAGTGGTGTAAGTGAGTTTGACCTGAGCCAGAGAGAGACCATGGTGCCAGCTAGCTAGCAAGCTGGTAGAACGTGTAACAGTAACATCTTCATCTATCTATCGATTATTAATAGTATACATTCTTTTTATCATGATGGACCTGTGGAACACCTCGTGTGTTGCTGCACGGCCATTCTTTCTTCTACTAGTACCGAGTGACAATAGAACCCCCGTCTCTCCCTTGTCGCTCTCCATGGCTGCGTCTTTCGTTGCTTGCTTTCCTTAAGAAGGAGAGACGGAGCGACGAACTGAACTGCGTCTTTCTTCTTCTTCCTCGTCTTGCTGTTGCTTTTTGTGGACAACATGTTGGACATACTTTCCCGCGTTCATTTGAATGTACGTATTGGTCACACACCCCTTGCTTCGCAGTGTCTTTTGCAAAAGTCGAAAGTTGTCCTCATCAATGACGGCCATCATGTCTTCGTCCAGACTACCAAACTGTTGGGAAATCGAGGCATCCATGCTGCTGACACTGCTGCGCATGCTACCCGTTCTGCTGCTGCTACGCCCGTAATCAGAAAAGCTTTGATCCATGAGGGAGGTGACTCCTTTGGACCAATCTTCCAACGTATTGGACAGACTCTCGCCAATGCTCGTGGGGCGGCGACGGCTGGGGACTGGGGAAAGACTCTGGCTCAGGGTGCGGCTCTTCATTGTTGGGATGTTACTAGTGCTAACTGCTGACTATAGGTTGAGAGTTCTTGCTGTTTGCTTTTCTGTCCCCTCTAAAATTGTGAGGGAAAAAGAAACTTGCCCGAGCTGCGGCTTCAAAGACACATCCATGTGTGAAAGAGCTTGCGAAAGTCAGCTCTGACACCTGGTAGTGAGCTGATAGCGACGCTACGGTACCGGTGGCTCCAGCACGGATGCAGAACGAGCAGGAACAAAGAAATCTACATGAAATCATGAAATCAATCTTCTTTCTTCGTCTTGATCGTGTCCAAGTACCAGTTGTACCGGTACTCGCTTTGCTGATACTGACAGTAGGATACTGTACAAGTCGCGTTGAAGGAAACAAGGAAACCCAGAAGCGCACCCACTACTTACAGCACCAGTTATTGATTAAAAAGCAGGCTAATAAGGGGGCTGTGCAAGGGCGCATTTAACAAATTAACCCCAAGACATTGGAGGAGTTGCTTTCTGAACGAAGACAGCATGGCTACCGTACACGGAAAGCTGTCCCAATGCAAGCTAAAACAGTGCTCATCTCCAGGTGCATGTACGCTGTGCAAGAGCAAAAGGCAGAGGTCAAGCAGCCACTCTATCGGTTCATTCTATGGATCTGTTCTGTGAACTGTGAATGAGTAAAAGTTACATTCTTTTATCATAATTTTGTGAGTACATGTACGAGTACATGTACTCGTACATGGACACTTGCACTGGCATAGATAGCTAGACCTACCGGTAGACTTGAAAATGAAGGGGCACAGTCGGGCGGGTCCAAGAAAACTTGCTGCTACGAACTAGACTACATATAAGAATGAGCCAAATGCAACCATCAATCTGTGTCTCTATAAACTTGGCAACGGAGGCCAAGCATGTTCATTTAGTATCGGGTTAATGAACCAACTGGTTCAACTGCAAAATCTACTTGTACGCTGTAGTGGACGGGAGGCGTTGCATTGCACAAGAGGTGCTTCAAAGTTCAAAGAAGAGCTTCAACAGAGGTGCTTCACGGAGGTGCTTCGGTACCGGTATCGTTGCTTTAGAAAGTACCGGTACTAGCTACCGGTAGTATGGTCTTCGGAGCGTTGCGAAGGAGGTGGCACGCCGGTAGGATCCAATCCTACTAGCTAGGTATCATACGTAGGGATAGAGGCTAAGTAATGACGTCATTCGGTTTTATTGTAAAAGAACTCGATGTCGATGAGTGGATACTTCAACCACTCATAATTCCTTTTCTACGTATGTACAAGTACTGCAGCCCTTAATACACTGATCGGCAATGCCACATCACCCTTGACATGGTTGACCCACGAAAAAGGGGGGGAGAGTGCCAGGTGCCAGGAAGACAGGTAGACGCGGGAATCAATAATATTAATTCAAATTTCCAGAGTAAAGCGTAACATTAACCCTATATATACCGCATCTACCCATTTTTCAGGGGACGTGCTCCTTCCGTACTTCAAATTCAAAAGATTCCCTCAAGACTTTCGGGGGAATTCCGAGAAGCGAGGATTGAATCGAATCATTCGATCGATTGACGATCATTCCTCGAAGGAGTAATAAAGTGAAGAAGTACGGTAGTATGCTGCGAAACAGAGCGGTAGGATGGGCTATGGGAGGTGGGGACAAAGCCACAAGAAATATGAAAAAATAGAAGTCTACTAAGGCAAGGTGCACAATCATTTCTCGCTCGTTCATACCGAGCCCTGAACATGCACAATGTACTACACTGCAGATTTCAGACGGCTTTATCAAACCGGCTTCCTTGTTGTCTTGTGCTACCTCCTCTTTGGTTGTAGCGTTTGCTCTTCCCAGCCGCAGCAACCCGGGTTCACTTTCGAAGCCTCCAGCAATGTGGAATCAAGGCCCTCAGCCATGGTATCACCTACGGTCACCTTAATTTTGTCCAGTGCCACTCTGCTGAGTACCACTAAGATGGGCCGTTGCTACGATGCCTACGATGATTCCTGCAAAGGCGGGATCGCAGCCTTGATGGCATATGCCAGGAACAATACCGTGGATTCGGATATTGGGAGGTTGGTTTTGCCTCGTATTGACATCGAGTCTTCCTTTGTGCAGATGCACCCCCTTGACTGGTCCGTCAACCGTCTTGTCTTGAAGGATTACTTCAACTTTGATGTCTTTTGGGGGGTGAGGTCTTTCACAACCCAGCAGCTCTATTCAAAAGAGAGAGATATGTCCGATCTTCAAAGCATTGATTTCCCCCTCCTCACTAGCACCATTGATATCCCTATCAGCAACGTGTGGAGGCAATTTATCAACGACATCCACTTCCATGAGGCAACAGGTTTGGCCATCATGAAGGTTGTCCGTTCTCGTAATGACGACGAGGAGGAGGGTATCATCAACAAACTAGAGAAAGCCATTGAATCCTGCAAGAGTTTGCTCACAGGAATTCATCAGATTAATTGGCAGGCAGGCTGCTTTCCACAAGAAGAGCCCACTCCGTATTGGTCCTACATGCAATCGAGTACCCTTTGGAAAAATTTAAGTCAGTCATCCTCACAGCAGCAGCAACGTCCCGAACATCCCTGTTGGATTCCGGTGATCATTACCGGGCAAGGTTTCGATCCTCCAATGATGGATACTTTTGTGGAAGCTCTTGCTACCTATGAAAAGCTTCCACCAGCTGTCATTTACGTACCACGTGGGAAGTTCGAGAGATTCGCCACTCCAGGGAAGGTGCACAACACTTGGGTTTACTGGAACGATAACTATGGAGCCGAAGAGTTCGATCAGCTCCGACTTCATTTACGACACGACCCATCACTGACCCACACACACAACGAAGTCACAGAACTCACCGTTACTCAAGACAACACACGAAAGATTGATGAGCAAGTCAAAGACGAGCAGTTTGTCCGTGATATTGAATTCTTGAAGGACCTCATGGTGGAAGCAGAAAACAACGACCCTCTTCTCGGAAACACATCAGAAATGCTGTACACTCGAGAGGGAAAATTTCGAAGATGCTTTGGTGGTGAGTGTCCTTTGGGAAACCTTTTCACTGATGCCATGCGTTGGCGAGCACAAGCTGATGTTGCAGTGATCAACAGTGGTGGTGTCCGTGGCAGCGGCTGGCCTGCCGGAGAAGTGAGGACTTCAAACATTTGGGATAGCTTTTTCTTCGCCAACACCTTATGCGAGATTTTAATGTCTGGCCTATCCCTCTTCCGACTGTTCAATTACAGCACCAGTTTGGCCTCATTTGAACCATGGAATTTTGCTGATGGAGATCGCCTCCTCCAGGTTTCCGGTGCTCGGATCACGTACAACACAGAGCTCAACACATCCCGCTTGATATCTATGGAAATTTGGAACAAGGAATCGCAAGAGTACGAGCCAGTGGATCGTTTGAAGATTTACAAGGTGGCATCTACTAGCTGGGAATGTGATGGTTTCGCTCCAGTTCCAGACTACCTCACGACGGCGCTGGTAATGAAGGGGGAGCGACCAGCTGAAATAATGGATGAACTGATCCAGAACGTGGTGGGATCATACTTGAAGTCATTGAATGGAACTGTGTATGACACGAGCAATCAAGGGCGTCTCATTAACGACACCGATTCACTGGAGGCCATGGATTGGATCCAAACCGAAGCATCATGTCCATTTCGAACTTATTGGTCTGAGGAATACCTCACCTGCTTTGATTGCCCGGATGTCTCTCAGGTTCAATTTGCGGAAGAGACGCTCGATGGTGAAGGGGTAAGTGGACAGGACAATGCTTATCCTCACCAAGCCACTGTTGTGAATGGTGAGAACTTCACAATTACGCTGCTCCCAAAGCAAATCCCAAGCTGGATCTCCTGGGCCCCCGAAGGTGGAGCTTCTGTAACATCTTATGATGCTGCTGATACTGGGACTGAAGATCAAGTACTGCTTGAACCAGGTCAGACACACACATTTAGCTTTGTTGCTACCTCAAAAGACCTGGATGCTGGAATCGCCCAGGCTACCGTATCCTTTGCCATTCAAGATGGAGGCTCCTACACTGGCTGCAGTGGAGATGATGTTAGCTTTCAAGTCTCAATGACAGTAGAGCCAGAACCAGAACTCAGCAAACCGGAGGGCAGCCGCTATGCCGGCCTTGTCTTGATGGCCATATCATGCCTAATGTCTATCTCCTTTGGTGCTTGGGTCTACTGGAATCGAAACGATCGTGTTGTTCAATCTCTCCAACCAGTCTTCTTGATTGGTCTTTGTGTTGGGACTTTCATCTTGTGCTTTTCCATTCTCCCCCTTAGTATTGTTGATGAGCTGGAGAAGGAATCTGCCAGGGACCATGCCTGCCAAGCCACGCCATGGTGAGCAACAACAGACAAGTAAAAGTGGAATCATATCGTTGCCATGTTGGATTGGAATCGAATCAACACGCTAACTATTTGCCTGCCATCTCTGCCAAAGGCTGATTGTCCTTGGCTTCAATATGATCATGTCTTCTCTCTATGCCAAGCTTTGGAGAATCAACAAGCTTTTCGGTGGGAATAGCTTTGTGAGAGTGGCCATTACAGCACGACAGGCTGTCATTGCTACAAGTGCCCTCTTTGTGACAAACTTGATTTTGCTTGGCATCTGGACCATCGTTGACCCGCTGAAATGGGAGATTCGCCATGTGCCTGGGGAAGAATGGAACCAGTATGGAGCCTGCAGTAATGTGGGCCCAGCTGGCCAAGGTTTGTATGCAACAATATTTGTCCTGACAATGATCAACCTTGTCCTGGCAAGCCACCAAGCGTTCAAAGCACACAACATCAGTGACGAGTTCAGTGAGAGCACCTCCCTGGGCTTCGCGGTCTTCACATCTGCGCAGATTGTGGTTGTGGGTCTCCCGATTCTTTTCTTGATTAGTGAAGACAATCCAGATGCCCAATACCTGCTCCAGACCATGATGATCTTTGCCATCTCCACATCTGGCTTACTACTCATTTTTGTCCCCATCATCCTCCATCAACGTGAACGCCAAAGGCAACCACGGGCAACAGGTCGAGTGCAGGTTTCTGGTATAGCAGCGAGCACGATGTTGAGCCTGAACAGCAACCATGCCCGGAGCAATATGAGCGAAATGAGTTGTATGAGCAGCCATTTGACGAGCTCAAGAGGATTTCCTCAAGAGTGACCACCAACCACCACCACACACACACACACACACAACCGTGCCACTTTGTACTTCTGGCTGAGTACACAAGTTAGTGCGACACGCTTTACTACGAATAGTGGCCCCAGCACAGCCACCAACAGCCGCCCGAGCAGTATCGCTACATTGGCAAGCGCAAACCTCACGAGTGACCGACCGCGGGAGGAGCCGCGATGTGCTTCCTTCTACGGCTGAGTGCACCTCCCCGGAGGCCTTCTTGTGCACGAGGGTCGAGGAACGCTTGCCTATGTCATCTAGCTGTGCAGATAGCCAGTTGTCACAAGTCATGAAGCATGCAACGTCGTACCTTATTGTGTTTGGAGGCACGCCCAACATCAGCCTTCGTGCTTGTAAAGAATGAGTCAAGCCATGGTTCTTGCCACGTCAAGTTCTCAAGTTCTCGTAGACAACCTCTCAACTTGTGGGACACTTGTAGAGCGGAGAAGTGGTTCCTGTTGTTGCTCGCTTGATCGTTGAACACGTAACCTGGTTAGTGAGGTCTATCTGGGTCTGCTCAAGCCTCTGTTTTGGCTTCCAAATGTAGCTGCATTTGTTCCCGTGATCTCGTAGCGTCGAGACATTCCGTCGATTCGGTGTCAACGTTTTGACTCGAGGGATACTGTCGAACTCCTCTTGAAGTCGACTCGAAGGTATTCTATGAGTTTACTGTGTGAGTTTCAAGGCTGGGATGGCTTCTACTCCAAGATTCAGTTCCCCGCGGTGATCTGGGTTTTGGTATACTGGCTTTGACACGATTAGTTGTATCTCAATGAGTTTCTGGAGTTAGAGGCGGCTGCTTGTCACTGAGCATGAGGTGTTTTCACCTCCTTCCACTTTTTTAATGGTGGCTCTTAGCTTTCTCGACTGTGTTGGTAGCTATCTTGATTCCCGTCGATCGGCTTTTGCTCGTGTCCGGGCGCCTGAGTTACTCACAAAACGAGTAAAATTTTTGTTGTATGAGGATGATCAAGGCATCAAAGTAGTGTAATTCGATCTCCTCTATCTGTCGGTATGCTTGGATCTGGTTGATGCGGACGTCTCGAGATCGGCCCATCGCTCCGTGTAGCTGCGGTGCCAGAGCTGGTAGGAACCGGTACTGGAAAAGGTACTAGTACAGAGGTTCGATCAAGACCACGAGCCGCAGCAGTCATCGTCATTTTTCTCCCCGATAGACTGTCGTTCCTTCGTCGTCCTTTCGGCAACCGAGTTCACAGCAAAAAACGCTGCTGCTCAATGAAGATTCCACCGTTTCTTTTGATGATGCTGTTGTCGGTATTCAGCCGCCAGCCACCCAGCCGCACAATGGTAGGGACTCCATTCGACCATCGACCTTCGTGGAGCGACGACCAGTTAACACACATCGTCCTCGTTTCGTCGTTCCATCGATCGTGCGTGTAACAGCGAACAGCGGCAACACCTGCATCCAAAAGGCTCCTTTCAGACCTTCACACCTCTCTACTTCTACCCTTCGTGGAAGCCAGGAGTGGGATCGAGTCTTCCTTTGGTTATTCTTGCACGGACCATACCGTACGGGTGGCCTATGGATGTGAATGGCTCGATGCGGTGGATATACAGAGTACATGTATACGTAGTCCCATAGCAAGCACTGTCTGCAGCGCATGCATGGCTGTATGAATTCGTTGGACGTGGCGATGAAGGGGTCGTCGCGTCGCTCATGGCTCATACAGCTAGCCAGCCGGATGATGCTGTCACGATGCGTCCTTGCAAAACTCACCATCAGCAGCAAAGTTGAAAGAAGAGCCAGCCTTGCTTGGATGCAGCCCAAGCTCGCAAGGCAGAATACGCAAAGCTGATAGATTGCTAGAAAGCTTGGAAAGTCCAAGGGTTTCGCCCAGTCATCGTCACTCAGCTTGTGTTGTTCGAGCAATTTCTGCTCATGGCATTGTGTGTGGTTGCAACGTGACCGGTTTATTATTAGTGAACTAAACTTCATGAAGCTGGTTCAACTGCAAAATCTAGTAAATGGGAGGCGCTGCATTGCTGCAGCGCACAAGAGGTGCTTCGGTACCTGGTGCTTCGGTACCTGGTATCGGTACGGTACCGTAGAGGTGCTTCGAATGGAGTTCCAGAAGTGTCTTGCATGGACAAACCATGGCGTTAGTAGGGGCATAGTTTCACCAGCCGGACGGCACATCGTGTAGATGCAGGACGGCCTCTTTGAAACAAATAGGAGACCGCGGTTGGTTGTGCCTAGCTAGTAGCTTCGTGTACAACCAAGTATGTAGCCGAGCCTTCTTGTTCTTGCTGTTGCCGAACTCACTGTCATCGTGGAATCTCAGATCTCAGTGGGTCCTCTCGTCGAGTCTCGTGCGTTCCATCCCCCACATACCGTACGAATACTGCCCCAACGCAAAAAAGCTGCCGCTGGGTCCGAAGCGTTTGTGGCTGTCGTCTTCTTGTGGAGTGCTGTTGAGTCCTCGCGCTTGATGAAACTCGAGTATCGCTTTGGCTTGATTGATTCTCCGCCGTTGTGATCTCTGTCCAACCCCACTCAGTACATGTAAGACCATGAGCTGCAGCAGTCATCATCGTCTTTCTTCCAGAGAGAATGCCGTTCCTTCGTTGTCCTTTCCTGCTGCTCAATGAAGATGCCTTCCACCGTTTCTTTTGATGCTGTTGTCTGTCTGTCGGTATCCAGCCGTCACCCAGCCCGCACTAATGTATGTAGGGACTCGACTCCATCGACCATAGTGGAGTGACGACCAGATCGACTGTTCCATCGTGTAACAGCGGCAACAGCCACACACTCAACTGCAGCCAAAAGGCTCCTTTCAGACCTTCAAAGCTCCCTACTGGAGTAGCTAGCTAGCAACTTCCTCCGTTGCTTTGAGACAACGAGACAACCAGACCATTCCGGCTACTAATAGTAGTTCGTAATGGTACCGGTATATGTCTCAATAGTTCTTGCATCGACCATACGGCATACGGTACAGTACCTATGTGTAGGTACTGTACTTATGGCATGTGGGATTATGGAGATTACGATGCGAATGATGCGAATGTGTGGGCTCTATGGATGTGAATGGATGCCAGAAGAAGAGTGGGATGTGTCCTCCTTTTCAACACCTTCTTCATGAAAAATCTTAGGGGACAAGGACCCGGAGAGGTGCGGAGAAAATTGCGAGGTCGTGATTTTTGCGAGGCATGCTCGAAACTAGAACCATTGAAGAAGAACAACGGAAGAATGACTACAAGAAGGCTCTTTTGTACAGTGGTACACAGTGTTTATCAATGGAATCTATTAATTAAAGCTGTTGGACTGGGCGTAAGTAAAAATTCTAATGGGGAAACTCAATGGTCAGATTTTAGTTGGGTGCATCTCAGAATACGAACCCCATATGAACCTCATTAATTAATGAACGATTGAAGATGCCACATAGCCATTGAGATTATTGGCCACCACGAAAACTGGAAAGTGCGAATGCAGGGGAAGTGATAAAAAAAAAATGGGAGGAAACGTCTCCCGATTTGGGGCTTCGTCTCCAGCTTCACAGTCCTTTGGTGGCACTACGTGTACTGGTAGCTACGCCACAAATCTTATGAAAAGTAAAAGTCATAATGAATGCTGCAGCTGTGAAGAAGCACAATCTATAACAACGCACATCTCTGTTGCCGAGTACTAATACAGAAGACTTTATCAAAACGAGCTTCAAAACGATACATGTACCAAGATGATGAGACTCTTCCATCTTGCCTTGTGCTACCTCCTCTTTGGTTGTAGCGTCTGCTCTTCCCAGCCGCAGCAACCCGAGTTCACTTTCGAAGCCTCTAGCAATGTGGAATCAAGGCCCTCAACCACAGTGTCACCAACTGTGACCTTAATTTTGTCCAGTGCCAGTCTGCTCAGTACCACTAAGATGGGCCGTTGCTATGATGCATACGATGATTCCTGCAAAGGCGGGATCGCAGCCTTGATGGCGTATGCCAGGAACAATACCGTGGATTCGGATATTGGGAGGTTGGTTTTGCCTCGTATTGACATCAAGTCTTCCTTTGTTCAGATGCACCCCCTTGACTGGTCCGTCAACCGTCTTGTCTTGAAGGACTACTTCAACTTTGATGTCTTTTGGGGGGTGCTTTCTTTTACAACCCAGCAGCTCTATTCAAAAGAAAGAGATGTGTCGGACCTTCAAAGCACTGACTTCCCCCTCCTCGCTAGTACCCTTGACATCCCTATCAGCAACGCGTGGAAGCAATTCGTCCAAGACATCCACTTCCATGAGGAAACAGGTTTGGCCGTCATGAAGGTTGTCCGTTCTCGTGATCGCAACCATGATCGCATCCGTGATGATAATGAGGAGGATCATCAGCGAAACTAGAGAAAACGATTGAATCTTGCAAGAGTTTGCTCTCAGTAATTCATCAGATTAATTGGCAGGCCGGATGCTTTCCACAAGAAGAGCCCACTCCGTATTGGTCCTACATGCAATCGAGTGCCCTTTGGTATAATTTAAGTCAGACATCCTCCCAGCAGCAGCAACATCCCGAACATCCCTGTTGGATTCCGGTGATCATTACTGGGCAAGGTTTCGATCCTCCAATGATGGATACTTTCGTGGATGCTCTTGCTACCTATGAAAAGTTTCCACCAGCTGTCATTTACCAGCCTTTGGGAATTGATAAATTCGCCACTCCAGGGAAGGTCCACAACACTTGGGTGTACTGGAACCCTGCCTACAAAATTTATGGGTTTGACCAGCTTCGACTTCATTTACGACACGACCCATCACTGACCCACACACAAAATGAAGTCCTCGACCTCACTGTTACTCAAGAAGACACCGGCAACATTGATGAGCAAGTCAAAGATGATCAGTTTGTCCGCGATATTGAATTCTTGAAAGACCTCATGGTTGAAGCAGAAATCAATGACCCTCTTCTCGGAAACACAACCGAAATGCTGTACACTCGAGAAGGACAATTTCAAAGATGCTATGGTGGTGAGTGCCCTTTGGGAAACCTTTTTGCTGATGCCTTGCGTTGGCGAGCGCAAGCTGATGTTGCAGTGATCAACAGTGGTGGTGTCCGTGGAAGTGGCTGGCCCGCCGGAGAAGTGAGGACTTCAAACATTTGGCGTAGCTTTTTCTTCGCCAACACCTTATGTGAGATTTCAATGTCTGGCCTATCCCTCTTCCGACTGTTCAATTACAGCACCAGTTTGGCTACCTTTAGACCATGGAATTCGAATGCAGCAGATCGTCCAGGAGATCGCCTCTTCCAGGTGTCCGGTGCTCGCATCACGTACAACACAGAGCTCAACACCTCCCGCTTGATATCTATGAAAATTTGGGACAAGGAAACGCAAGAGTACGAGCCAGTGGATCGTTTGAAGATTTACAAGGTGGCATCTACTAGCTGGGAATGTGAGGGTTTCGTTCCAGTTCCAGACTACCTCACCACAGAGCTGGTAATGAAGGGGGAGCGACCAGCCGAAATTGTGGATGAACTGGTCCAGAACGTGGTGGGGTCATACTTGCAGTCATTGAATGGAAAGGTCTACGACACAAGCATTAAAGGGCGTCTCATCAACGACACCGATTCACTCCAAGCCATGGATTGGATCCAAACTGAAGAATCATGTCCGTTTCGAACTTATTGGTCTGAGGAATACCTCACCTGCTTTGATTGCCCCGATGTCTCTCAGGTTCAGTTTGCCGAAGAGATGCTCAACGGTGAAGGAGTAAGTGGACAGGACGATGCTTATCTTCTCCAAGCAACTGTTGTGAATGGTGAGAACTTCACAATTACCGTGCTCCCAAAGCAAATCCCAAGCTGGATCTCCTGGGCCCCTGAAGGTGGAGCCATCTCTTCGACTTCTGTAACATCTAGGGATGCTGGTACTGGGAATGAAGATCAAGTATTGCTTGAGCCAGCTCAGACGCACACCTTTAGCTTTGTTGCTACCTCAAGAGACCTGGATGCTGGAATTGCCCAGGCTACCGTATCCTTTGCTGTTCAAGATGGAGGCTCCTACCCTGGCTGTAGTGGAGATGATGTTAGCTTTCAAGTCTCAATGACAGTAGACCAGAACCAGAACTCAAGAAGCCGGAGGGCAGCCGCTATGCTGGTTTTGTCTTGATGGCCATATCATGCCTAATGTCTATCTCCTTTGCTGCTTGGGTCTACTGGAATCGAGATGATCGTGTTGTTCATAAACTCCAACCAGAATTCTTGATTGGTCTTTGTGTTGGGACATTCATCTTGTGCTTTTCCATTCTCCCCCTGAGCATTGTTGATGAGTTGGAGAAGGAATCTGCCAGAGACCATGCCTGCCAAGCCACGCCATGGTGAGCAACGGCAGACGAGTAAAAGTGGTATCATATCCTTGTTGCCTTGTTGCGTTGGAATCAGCAGCTAACTGTTTGCCTGTCCTCTCTGCCATAGGCTGATGGTCCTTGGCTTCAATATGATAATGTCTTCTCTCTATGCCAAGCTTTGGAGAATCAACAAGCTTTTCGGTGGGAACAGCTTTGCCAGAGTGACCATTACAGCACGGCAGGCTGCCATTGCTACAAGCGCCCTTTTTGTGACAAACTTGATTTTGCTTTGCATCTGGACCATCGTTGATCCGCTGAAATGGAGATCCGCCATGTCCCTGGTGAAGAATGGAACCAGTATGGATCCTGTACTGATGTGGGCCCCGCTGGTCAAGGCTTGTATGCAACAATATTTGTCTTGACAATGATCAATCTTGTCCTGACAAGCCACCAAGCGTTCAAAGCACGCAACATCAGTGACGAGTTCAGTGAGAGCACATCCCTGGGTTTTGCAGTCTTCACATCTGCACAGATTGTCGTTGTGGGTCTCCCAATTCTTTTCTTGATTAGTGAAGACAATCCTGATGCCCAATACCTTCTACAGACCATGATGATCTTTGCCATCTCCACATCTGGCTTACTACTCATTTTTGTCCCCATCATCCTCCATCAACGCGAACGCCAAAGCCAGCCACCGGGAGCAGGTCGATTGCACATTTCAGGAATGAACACGACGACAACCATGGCCAACAGCAACCACGCTCTGAGTGCTCAGAGCGGTCTGAGTGGTACGAGCAGCCACGGTGCGAACTCAAAGAGGACTTCTGCCTGGTAATTGACCACGGACCACCAAACGAGCCACTACACACACAAACCTGCCGCGGGGTACTTCTGGCTGAGTGCAGGGAAAAGCGCTTGCCTCTTCTAGCGAGCTGTCTTCTTTGTAGATAGCCAGTTTTCACTAATCACTAATGATGAAGCATGTATAACATACGGTACGGAGGTCTTTCGAGGCAAGCAAGCGCTTATAACACCAGCCTTTGTGCTTGTCTTGTAGAGAATGACACAACCTCGGACCGATCGGCTGGGAGTTCCGGCAACTTGTATATATCACCCAAGCATCTTAAAAGATACCAGTACCTATGGAGTTCCCTTTCTTCACCCCCGAGCCAACTCAAACCGAGCGACAAATGACTCGAGCCAAGCCAAGGAATCACGCGTCAAGTACGCAACGTCTCGACTTCGCTTGCCCCAAGAACTCGATGAAACAAGTTGCGGAGAAGCTACACAGCACTTCGTACAGCTATCGAAGGCACTAGCTAGAGCTGCTAGCTAGCAGCTAGCTAGGCACTACCGGTACGGTACCCATGGCTGTGTTCCGCAACTCTAGCACTATGGTTCCGACGGAATAGTTGAAGCAGCAATCACGAACAACATCAATCAAGTCAAAAAGTACATTCCTATGGATTATAAACTTGCAATAAACCCCCTTTGGTCTTGTTCGTACCGGTATTCAGCGCATTCTTTCATCCCCCAAAAATACAGTAGATAGATGTATAGATAGCCTTCGCAGGTCCACTCAAAATCATGCAATCAAGCCGCCGCAGTAAACCCTGCCACCGGTGTTTCGACGCGACGTTGCTGCATTCGAACGTGCTTCACGTACTTTGCCAAATTCTGTTGCAAGTAGTTATTGGTCACACAACCTCGGCTGCGCAGTGATCGTTGTAGCGTTCGAAAGTTGTCTTCGTCCAACAGAGCCGGAAGGTCGGCAGTCGTGGGCGACATCTCTTCCACTTGTTCGTACATAAAGACCAGCGTTTCTTCGTCGCAAGAGGACGAAGAGCACAGGCTAGCGGTCCTACTACTAGAGTGATCCGAGGGTCCCTTGAGCATATCAGAGAGCTTGAGAAGTTTAGAAGACATGGTGTGGCTGGTGTAATGTATGTATGTGTGGGTTGTGCTTTTTCCGAAGTCGAGTGAAGTTGGATTGTGAGCTTCGACTGAGAATGTGGGAAGCGTGACAGTCGCTCGATGAATGAGGGTGGGTCTTCTTCATCAGGTGAGAAAGCGGGAAAGCAGGAACCGACATCCTGAACCCCACTGGTTATGACCTGAGGACCTGAGTATCATGGGACTCTGGACTCTGGTACTAGAAATGGCTCCAGAGAATTAAACGAAGCCTTCTGCAGCCACTTTCCAATCACTATCAGGATAAGAGTACAAAAACGATGATCGGAATTCTTTTGTCTTCTTGTTTTTACAATCGATTACTCTAAGCCTGAACACTCATGGTCGTACCCCTTATATGAACTTGAGTCGAAAAAGAAACTAGGTCGCTGCCAACTGCCAACATTGACCAACTGGTCATCTTACAAGTAAAAAGCCCCCTCGCTGGTCGTGAAACTGCTGGCTATCACAATGTCATCATTTACCACAGCTTTACCACACAAACCTCACCTCAGGAGTCAGTACCAGCGTTACTCTTCGAGTGGATTGCGCTCCTACTAGACTAGCTAGCTAGTAGTCAGAGAAGAAATAATGAGTGATTGTTCCAGGAGCTCCACACCTGCTCTACTAGATTCCAGAAGGCGATTGATTCTACCATGGCAGGATAGTTCTCGTTTGCTACCAGCAGCACCAAAAGATGGCATCCGCACAGCTGGTGGCAAAATCGGCACTGATGCCGTTATTTATAGTACCGTACCGTACTGGTACTAGTAGCGTCAAGACGAGTGCAGAACGTTTGGTTCTTGCCTACGCGGCCTTCTTGGCTTGCTGGAGATGATAGAAGTACAAGAAGCACTTTTGAGGTCTCTGACACGGCGTTTCCTCGTCACCCCCATTGATTTTGTAATCCCTCATCTCTCCGTGCCGTCCCCGGCCAGTTTTGTCATCTACATTCGCTTTTAAGAGCTTGATCCTCTGACTGCAGATTGATGTCAGACTACACTAAGACAATTGTATGGAATTCTACGTTACGCGTGGCCTCGGAAGACCACGGGACTATGTTGCATGCATCATGTTAGCGAAAACTGGCCAGCTTAGATAGCCAGAAGAGGCAACAGCTTTTCCCTGCACTTCTAACTTTACGGCCGTGGCTCCTTTGCCTGGTAGTAGGTCACTCATGAGGAAAGTTCTTTGCTTACACCGGCCTTGCTCATGCTGTCACTGCTCGGGGTGCTGTTGCTAGCTGTGTATTTGCTTGCTGGCATGCTGGTCGCGGTGCTGCCTCGAACGGGAGCACTTGTCGTACTGTAGTGTGTCGTGCTTGCTGCTATACCAGAAACGTGCACTCGACCAGCGTCCCGTGGTTGTTGTTGGCGTTCGCGTTGCTGGAGGATGATGGGGACAAAAATGAGTAGTAAGCCGGATGTGGAGATGGCAAAGATCATCATGGTCTGCAGAAGATATTGGGCATCAGGATTGTCTTCACTAATCAAGAAAAGAATTGGGAGACCCACAATCACAATCTGTGCGGATGTGAAGACTGCAAAACCCAGGGATGTGCTCTCACTGAACTCGTCACTGATGTTGCGTGCTTTGAACGCTTGGTGGCTTGCCAGGACAAGATTGATCATTGTCAAGACAAAGATTGTTGCATACAAGCCCTGGCCAGCTGGGCCCACATCAGTGCAGGATCCATATTGGTTCCATTCTTCACCAGGGACATGCCGAATCTCCCATTTCAGTGGGTCAACGATGGTCCAGATGCAAAGCAAAATCAGGTTTGTCACAAAGAGGGCACTTGTAGCAATGGCAGCCTGTCGTGCTGTAATAGCCACTCTGGCAAAGCTGTTCCCACCGAAAAGCTTGTTGATTCTCCAAAGCTTGGCATAGAGAGAAGACATTATCATATTGAAGCCAAGGACAATCAGCCTTTGGCAGAGAGGACAGGCAAACAGTTAGCTGCTGATTCCAACGCAACAAGGCAACAAGGATATGATACCACTTTTACTCGTCTGCCGTTGCTCACCATGGTGTGGCTTGGCAGGCATGGTCTCTGGCAGATTCCTTCTCCAACTCATCCACAATGCTCAGGGGGAGAATGGAAAAGCACAAGATGAATGTCCCAACACAAAGACCAATCAAGAAGACAGGTTGGAGGGATCGGACAACACGATCATTTCGATTCCAGTAGACCCAAGCACCAAAGGAGATAGACATTAGGCATGATATGGCCATCAAGACAAAGCCAGCATAGCGGCTGCCCTCCGGTTTGCTGAGTTCTGGCTCTGGCTCTACGCTCATTGAGACTTGAAAGCTAACATCATCTCCACTACAGCCAGGGTACGAGCCTCCATCTTGAACGGCAAAGGATACGGTAGCCTGGGCGATTCCAGCATCCAGGTCTCTTGAGGTAGCAACAAAGGTGAAGGTGTGCGTCTGAGCTGGCTCAAGCAATACTTGATCTTCATTCCCAGTACCAGCATCCCTAGATGTTACAGAAGTCGAAGAGATGGCTCCACCTTCAGGGGCCCAGGAGATCCAGCTTGGGATTTGCTTTGGGAGCAGTGTAATTGTGAAGTTCTCGCCATTCACAACAGTGGCTTGGAGAGGATAAGCATTGTCTTGTCCACTTACTCCTTCACCGTCGAGCGTCTCTTCGGCAAACTGAACCTGAGAGACATCGGGGCAATCAAAGCAGGTGAGGTATTCCTCAGACCAATAGGTTCGAAATGGACACGATTCTTCGGTTTGGATCCAATCCATGGCCTCCAGTGAATCAGTGTCGTTGATGAGACGCCCTTTAATACTTGTGTCGTAGACCGTTCCATTCAATGACTTCAAGTATGATCCCACCACGTTCTGGATCAGCTCATCTGTAATTTCGGCTGGTCGCTCCCCCTTCATCACCAGTGCCGTGGTGAGGTAGTCTGGTACTGGAGCGAAACCATCGCATTCCCAGCTACTAGATGCCACCTTGTAAATTTTCAAACGATCCACCGGCTTGTAGTCTTGCATTTTGTTGTCCCAAATTTCCATAGATATCAATCGGGACGTGTTGAGCTCTGTGTTATACGTGATGCGAGCACCGGACACCTGGAAGAGGCGATCTCCATCAGCAATATTCCGTGGTTCAAATGAGGCCAAACTGGTGCTGTAATTGAACAGTCGGAAGAGGGATAGGCCAGACATTGAAATCTCGCATAAGGTGTTGGCATAGAAAAAGCTAGCCCAAATGTTGGAAGTCCTCACTTCTCCAGCAGGCCATCCTCCACCACGGATACCACCACTGTTGATCACTGCAACATCAGCTTGTGCTCGCCAACGCATGGCATCAGTGAAAAGGTTTCCCAAAGGACACTCGCCACCGTAACATCTTCGAACTTTCCCTTCTCGAGTGTACGGCATTTCGGTTGAGTTTCCGAGAAGAGGGTCATTGTTTTCTGCTTCAACCATGAGATCCTTCAAGAATTCAATATCGCGGACAAACTGCTCATCTTTCACCCGCTCATCAATGTTTCGGGTGTCGTCTTGAGTAACAGTGAGGTCGAGGACTTCATTTTGTGTGTGGGGCAGTGATGGGTCGTGTCGTAAATGAAGGCGAAGCTGATCGAACCCTTCGGCTCCATAGTTATTTTTCCAGTACACCCAAGTGTTGTGGACCTTCCCCGGAGTGGCGAATCTCTCATACTTCCCACGTGGTGCGTAAATGACAGCTGGTGGAAACTTTTCATAGGTAGCAAGAGCCTCCACAAAAGGGTCCAACATGGGAGCATCCAAACCTTGCCCAGTAATGATCACCGGAATCCAACAGGGATGCCCGGGATGTTGCTGCTGCTGGGAGGATGTCTGACTTAAATTAGTCCAAAGGGCACTTGATTGCATGTAGGACCAATACGGAGTGGGCTCTTCTTGTGGAAGGCAACCTGCCTGCCAATTAATCTGATGAATTACCGAGAGCAAACTCTTGCAGGATTCAATCGTTTTCTCGAGTTCGTTTAGAATACCCTCCTCGTCGTCATCACCATTACCATTCTCTGGAGTGACAAAACGAGCAAGGACAACCTTCATGACGGCCAAACCTGTTTCCTCGTGGAAGTGGATGTCTTTGACGAACTGCTTCCACGTGTTGCTGATAGGGATGTCAAGGTTACTAGCAAGGAGGGGGAAGTCATTGCTTTGAAGATCTGAAAGATCTCTCTCTTTTGAATAGAACTGCTGTGTTGTCAGAGACCTCACACCCCAAAAGACATCAAAGTTGAAGTAATCCTTCAAGATGAGACGATTGACAGACCAGTCAAGGGGGTGCATCTGCACAAAGGAAGACTGGATGTCAATACCAGGCAAAACCAATCTCCCAATATCTGAATCCACAGTATTGTTCCGGGCATATGCCATCAATGCTGCAATCCCACCTCTGCAAGAATCATCATAGGCATCATAGCAACGGCCCAAAGTAGTGGTACTGAGCAGTTTGGCACTGGACAAAATTAAGGTGACCGTAGGTGACACCGTAGGTGAGGGCCTTGATACAAAATCCACTTTGCTAGAGGCTTGGAAAGTGAATTGGGGCTGCTCCGACTGGGAAGAGCAAATGCTGCAACCAAAGATGAGGCAACACAAGAGAAGGAAGAGTCTCTTCATGGTTTTGATAAACTCTAGCTAGCGTTGTTGTTCTTGCTCACAAAAGAAAAAGTGGATGATTGTGAAGGCTTTTGTGAAAGAGAATTGTGAGGGCTTCGCGGCGACGATCGAGCGAGATGGCACCAAAACCCTTGCCGTTCCATGTGCAGTCATGAAACGTTCATTATGACTTTGACATATACCCCTTTTCGCGTCGTCTCCCGCTTCCAGTCTACCGGTACTGAATAGTAGATAGCTAGTTGTCAATCATAGCCAACAATAGCCAATCACAGTCAACAGTAGTCAATCATGGTCGATGAGTCGTCCTCAGACGTTCATTTTGGATAATGCATTTTAAAATGCTTTACTTGAGAAAGAATTATGCTTGCATTCTCAGGATTGAACACCATTCTTGCGCAAATAGAGAGCCCACTCAGCTCGCACGAACAGAAATTCCTCTCAAAACGATGCTGTATGCATCACCAATCTATGATACCAGCAGCTCAACCTGCAAGCTTGGGCTGCAGCACAAGCAAGGCTGCATGGTCCTTCTCTCCTCTCAAATTTATTTGCGCTGGTGGCTGCTGATCGTGAGTTTGCAATGATTGCTTGAGGGACGCATCGTGACAGCCTTTTTGGTATGTCCAAGTCACCAGAATGTGCCGAGATCACCAGAATGGCTGTGTCGAGATTGTTACTGTGGGCAAAAGTGGAAGACGGCCGACGACGAAAAAATGGGGCTTGGGATGGAAAAGGTAGCAATGGAGGTGCCTGTACAGTGGTTCCTGCACGGTTGATGTAGATTTACGAGAGGTGTGAACCTGTTTCTATGCATAGTTACCAATGACTACCGTAGCCAGCTAGAGGTAGCAAATAATGATCCACTTGCTTGAATCTCTACCGATAACTGTCGAAGCAGACAGTCCCTCCTCTCGCCTGCAATCGAAAGAAGCCATTTGAGCTGCCATTCACTTTTGTTTGTCCCTCTAAACATTTTTAAAAGGGGCTGTAGTAATGCTACGTACTGCATGCTACGTCGCGGTAATAATGTTGTCATTCGAGTAACACCTCATCATTATTGCCTCCACGGACGACACGTGTTGAGGTTTTTGTAATGAACCTAAAAAAATGACACATCTTCATTATTATTCATTCCAAAAGCACAGCCTTGGCCATGGACAGAGCTGAAGAAAGAAGTCTTGGCGCTTCATGCCCCCAGCAGGAGGAGTGCTTGCTTGGGAATAGGTACAAGGAATTGCAGGAATATCACAAGAACCATGGGGGCCTCAAATGGATCTACAAGGCAGACAAGTCCCTTCTCGGCTTGCTGCTGAAAAGTGAAGGAGCGAACAGGGAGAACTTCTTTGGTCGGCCGTCCAAGCCACCGCAAAGTGTCGAGATCCACCTCCTTACTCCATCCAAGGAACCAGCAGACGAAGGAGGAGTTGTTGGTGGTGGTGACAAACGGAAACACACAGTTTTCCCAGCGTTGGGTGGGGAGCAAGAATGCAATAAGCGACAGAAACTTGGCCCAGGAGGCTACAGTCCAGAAAACTTGGATCCATTGCAACCGTCGTGGTGGAGTGAAGTACGCAAGGCCAATGCCGCTGTCTCTGATGAGGGCCAAAATGAAAACGAAACTTCCAATGAGCATTTTTCTCGCGAGGAGTCTTCGCTTCTTGGCACCTTTGGATTCTAGCATTCTAGCTAGCTGGCTAGGGAAATTGATTTTTACACTCCTACACACATTACAAAATTAACGACGACACGCCAATAAATTGGAAAAAAGAAGGGAAGAATACATCCATCCATTCATGTTGATAGAATGTTTCAAGAGAAGATTTAGGAATCATACGATTTTAGGAATCATGATGGGACATGATGACGGCAGAAACGAGAGCAACTGGGGTGAGGAAACAGGAAGCGGACCAACAACCAACAAGGGAAAGGCTCAAGAAAGACATCATGGCAGGTTGTTGAGAAGCAGCAGAAACTCCAGGAAGAAATCGTGTCATGTTTTACTTGTGGGGAAAAGACTTTGTGGTTGGGAGTGTCAGTGAGTCGTCAGGGATATCCTTCTGTTGCGGGGTAGATGGTTGCACGCATCCGAAGCAGGGAAGCAGGCAAACAGTCGCGAAGATGAAGATGTGTATGAGCTGGGGCTGTTCCCAACAAACGACATTGGTTAAAGCAAAAACTAGAGAAACAATGCCACAATCTATAGGGCGAGGATCACTCCTACTGTGCGTTACATTGTTGGCACTGCCAGCAACAATGCATTGGAACCGACCTTTTTTCTTCGTTGTCGCACGCTGTGAGGCAGGACGCCAGTTTCGGGATGTGCAGACCACGCACACTCATGTTGCCTAGCTAGTTAGTGGTGGCTCTGTGCCCCTATTTTCTGAGTTCTGGGCTCAGGCGAACAATCCACCCAACCCGGAGTCCACTAAGCAATCGAACTGCATTTCGTTGCCTGACTGCATTGCACTTGCCTGCACTTATTATCATGAGCTACCGGCTGCACATTGTCCAAATCTACTTCTCTGTAGCGGTAGCCGGCCATGCAGCTCACAAGGTGAAGGTGATTGTTCGCTCGATCCAAGCAATAGCAGTCGGTAGGCGAACTGTCAAGTGTAGAGCATCGTCCAGAAGCCATGGGATGCATGATGGAGACAGGCGCAAAAGAGAGACCGAACCTCAGCTCGAGCAGCCCTTGCCAAACAGCTGTTGAAGGGGGTGCTAGCTATACTAGTTTGGGTAGTGTGTGGCCGTGAGCTATCTACTGCAGCAACCGTTCCATTCAATCTTTGCTCTCCACGCGGAGCGAGCAATGGTATACCTGGTGACGACTAGGTATTGCTCTCGTTGGGTTGCAGAGCAAAAAGCAGTGGGTGAACTCTTTCTGAAGTTCAAGAAGGACCAGATCCTGTTGATAGTACTTGCTACAGTAGCTAAGCTACATGCGAGCACAACCACCCAGAGGCGCGAACCCCTACTAAGGAAGCCATGCATCAGCCGTGCCGGTCGGGAGTGATCCGGGATCGTTGCTCCTTGGGCTTCCGCGTCAAGCAACTACCTATAATCAAGCAAACACCTCCTAGCTAGCAAACCAGTGGTTACTGTAGCTCCCAGGACCAACATACCGTATCCTTTCCAAGTCCATGGCGATACGAAGGCGGCTGAGTGCACCGTTGGAATACCGATAGCAACTACTGCACCTTTGAACTCTGCCGAAGCAAGTTTCGTTGGCCGAGAGACTATAGCAGGCTTGAGCCAGACATTCAATCTCGCTCTCTCCACAGACCCAAAGCTATGGTCGAAAAAGATCATTGTGTGAAAATGTAATGTCGCGGTTATGCATTATGCGTTTCTCTTTTTCTACACGGTGACCAGGGCACGGTTCCGCACTAATGATGATGCGTGTTATGCCGCTGCATTCACTTCCACCGATTGCGTTGGCTTTCTCCGGCTGCTGCTGGAAGTAGTTTCGATCTTTCGGGCTTCTTGAATAGCATGTTCGTACTTGAGGTGATAGACATAATGTTGGAGATTCTGTTTCAGGTATCCATTGGTAATGCATCCCTTCTTTCGCAGAGCCCTTTGCAACCTTCGAAAGGCCTCTGGGTCTTTTGCAATCCGCTCCAAGTCTTGATCATTATACGAAAGTCCTTGTCGTACAGCTTCAAAGACAGGACTGTGCTGCGTGTCTTGTTGTGGCTTGGGGCTGTCGGACCATGATACAACGCCATCGTCCTCGTCATGATTGGGGCCCATAATCAAAGCACTGAGGGAATTGGAAAAGTTGCGCAAGGTGGCTTCCACAGAGTGGTTAGCCTCGACTTCTACGGATGTGTTGAACATGATGAATGCTGCTTGGAATTGTGTGTTTTTGTTTTTTAGGATGAGAGTAAATCTAATTTGTGGGAAGGGCAAACCAAAAGGAAAGGTTTCCACCAAGAACCATGCAGGGATCATCAAAGCAATTTCGAGATAAAGCTCCAGCAGCTCCCCAGCATTGTTGGCGGTTCCCGCTCGTAAGCTGTGGCTCTCGCTGGTTCAAGTCAGTTCCATCAGAGACTTCCAAAATCCAGCTCAAAATAGCTCTCAAAATTCACAGTGGTGAGTGATCGTGTGATCCATCGTTCCGGTGGAGTCACAATGAACTCATTGCTTCAACTTACAATAACCGCTCAGAGATGATGATGATTTATGAGTAGTAGTGGAGTCGACCTAGCCAAAAGAATCGAATCCTGAAAAATGGAAAGTAGAAAGCAATAGTTTAGACTTTTTTGCATCAAAATGAGAAACATTCCTGTTTATTTAATTGCTTTTGATACAATTAATGCTTATTTTATGCTTTTGTTTACCTAGTTTTGAGGTTAGCAATAAGACTCGTGTGTTCCTTTCATGTTCTCCTATGCCTCCCAAGCAGTTCTGCAGGATCGAGAGTACATTTTACACAGTAAATTTGGAGCCTCAGCACCCCCTTCACTCATGAAAAAGGCTTCATTGGCCTTTTCACCTTGCTTTGTCCAACCAGACCACAACGACAATGGCACAACAAAACACAGCTTCCAATCCATGCTTGTTTGAGGTTGCTTCCATCTTCGATCCGCTTCTACTAGCTAGCTAGCTAGGTCATGATGAGTGAGCAACAACCACGCAACAGCTTCGTACCAACAAACAAACATAGAAAAGGATGCTCAGGCTGCCTGTCACTATCACCACTCCCACTTACGAGGACAGTTCGTTTAGAATCTTGCAACTGTGAGAGGATCTATTCCATGCATTGTTGGATTGTTGTCTCGCAGCATGAGGGTGGCTGCAGCCACTGTTTAGCGAAGTTGGAAACTGGCTGTGGCACGCCCCTCCGTGCGCAGTGTTTGCTAGATGCCCGCAAGCTAGGAGTCTGGAACTCTCAAAACATTAGGTCTTCTGTAGCACGCACCTAGCTAGACAAACTCTTTCGTCGGCGCATCTTTCCTCAACCAGTTGCAATATCGATATATTCATCTCCCATGTATTCAAGAGAAGCTGGTGACGGAGAGATGCTGCAACAAGCAAACGAAGCTCTCCAGTTGTAACCTTGTCTGCCAGCCAGTAGAGTAGCGCTCCAGTGCCAGCCTTGTCTAACAACCATCAGAAGATTTCATGCCAGCGGTCTTTCTGAATGCTTCGCCTAATGCCCCCCACCCGAACCTAAAACATTCACAAGTATGCCACATGGCTCGCCCGAGGCGATCATGGGATTCTGTGCCTTCTCCCGTCCCCTCGGTTTAAAGCAGCAGCGGGCACCAGAGCCACGATATCAGAACCCTCCAATCATTCGAAGAAGCTAGTAGGGACGAGGCTCACCACACATTCACTCGACCCCGAGAAAGGAGATGGTCTTCACCGACTTCAAGTTGGATCCTGGCTGGGAAGAAGCTGGCGCAGTGCCTGCCTTGCGGGTGAGGCGCGGAAGAGTGATGCAAGAGCGGCATCAGAATGGGCTGCCTTCTGATGATCTTCTTTTTCGCTTCGATTTCCAGGCGAAGTGAAGTGAACCGTGAAGCAGGTCCAACAACTCGGCCGTTTGTTCCCAGCAAGCGTCGCGAACAGCCAACTCGGTCGACGAAGAAGCCAAGGATCGTGCATCTATCAGGTGTAGGCGGTGAATTCAGACGGCGGTTCACGCCGGAACACGATCGTTCGATGAAGTGATGGTTTAGTTGGAGGCAGCGCCAAGAATGCGTGCGGCGTTTATTTGACCAGTCGGAAAACGAACATCCATCGGTGTCAAAGGCGAGCAGCGAGATTAGGTTTGCTTTGCTTTTAGCATGTATTGTTTATCTATGTGTGTATGGTAACATGTAGATCAATGAAAGTTTTGTGTCTGTTCAATGCTGTGTCCGGTACGTCACGTTACGTTTTACGCAGCAGGTGCGGAACGGCCAAGGCTAGCACAATAGGGAACGAAGTATGCAGCCCAAGAGAAAGCCTGCATGGTTTCGTCGTCGAAGAGACAGGGTTGATCTTCGTTCGTCAGCAGAAGCTGTTGCGCAAGGCTCACAAAGCTTGCTGCTGTGCCCAGTTCGTCCTGATCCAACAGAAGGTTGGACATATTGAATAGGCACGCTACGGTCATGCGGGAAACATCCACAAAGCCATCGTTCTTGTAGGACAACGACTCGAGTGCCTTGAGGCATTTCTTGTACAACGAAAACACTTGGCTGCTTCCGTGATGCACCGAATACAATTGAAGAGTGATGGCGATATTGTAGTTGATCACGGATCCACAAAACTCGGTGTCAACTTCAGTTAGGCGTTGCCTGCTGGGAGGGATCACAAGCCCAAAAGCTCTGCTGCAATAGAGGTGTGCACCAGCAGAGGGATCGGACACTGGCACCGGGACAGCTCCTGCTGCAAGATCGTTTGCTTGGACGGCCCGCAATCCTGTGGATTGGTTCTTCGAGGTCTCGTTCCTCAAACTTACGAAGGCCCTGTGGAAGCATTCAAGCGCCTTTTCGGCCTGGCCTGTCTGCAAGAAAGCAATACCGCCATTGTTGAGATCAAGGAAGATTTGCATCGTTGCTTCTCGTAGCTACTTCTTTGTCTTTGCGATTGTAGAGATTTGTGATAACTTAGCTTTCACTTTGCGAGAACTGGAATTTGTGAGCCCTTGCCAGTGTCTTTTGAGGCTTGATCCTTGGGTGAAGCGATGCCTTTTGCTTTTGGCCTCCCCACAACTATCTAACCTGCACATTGCCGCAGGTCATAGTTTTGGTTGCTGCCGGTACAGGCAGTGCTACTCAGGATTCTGATCGAGCTACCAGCTAGCCAGCCAGTCGGCAGCCAGCTAGCTACATGCAGTAGCGTACCGGTAGTAGACATTGCCCTGGAGGCAGCTTCTTTTCAGAAACCCTGATGTGGAGGTTTGACCGAGCCACTCCTCTCATGTCTCTTGCAGTCCAGTTTTGCTTGGGGCTGATAGGTGGATAGGTGGCGGTCTGGGTGTTTTTGTTGTAATGGGAACCCTTTTTCGACGTCGCATGACTTAAAGCTTTCTCCCCCAAAAGACCCTTGGGAACTCAAGAGAAGATGAGGCTATAAGGCTCACTGAGGTGGTTTCACCGCAGCTGCACAAAATCGATGCGGAATGAGAATTCTTTGCAACACCTGCCGCCTTCATACCCAACACAACGATGTACATGTACCATGTACGTAGTACATGAAATCTCCTGCCAATAGACACAAGCAGCCACCAGCATAATACCGACGCTGCTGCAATAACCTGCTGATCCTTGTAGGGGAGATACTCGTACTAGGAGTAGAATACATGAGAGAATGGGCTGGGAATTGAGAAGCTATTGAGAACAGGAAAAATGAGAAGACTTTTGGGGCTATTGAAGGGTGCTATAGGTCAGATGAGAAGAGCAGCCAACAGCTAGCCAAGCATGGTCTTGGCGATTGACATCTAGAGACTTGATGCATTCTTTTGTAAATTGTGCCTTAATGCTGCTGCTCTAGGGCAAGTGTGTTTTGCTGGGCAAATAAATTACTTCTTGGATCCGGAGCTAAAAACATATTCAGTAACATTTCCATATTCTTTTTGCAAGCGGAGTGCTTCCAGAGTCACAAAGAAAAGAAAGCTCTTGACCCCGCAGATGAAACAGCTCTAGGGTATGGAGATCCCAATACCACAGTGCTCGAGTAGTGACCAACGGTGGCTTGCACGGGAAACAGGTAGCATCAGCGTAATGAAGAACATCTCCTGAGCTTCTTCTGCTGGTTTCCCCACTACATGTGGGTAGTACCCACGTACTCGTAATGACTTTTAGTTACATGTAAGCATCACACCCTTTTCTTGTGCAGCAACCATCAAAGCAAGAACTCGAACACTTACTTGCTTTTCTAAATAAAGGAAGTGTGGCTGGTCAATCCAATACTCCCAAGTTGTGAAATATAGGTTAAAGGCACTAAAATAGTCTCCACGGAAAGTACTTCGCATTATTTCACACTTGTCTTTTGAATGAATCCAATCCAATTCCACACCTGTGAAACTGACTGAAACTAACTGAGCAAGTGGAGTGAGAGTCGAGTGGAGTGGCAGCTCGCAGTCGGAAGTCGGAGGGTGCCGGGTAGGAGTACCGCTACGTGGTGTCGCCTAAGTCACCACCGTACGAGTTGGTGTCGCTTATTAAGTCACCACCTCCCCCGATTCTGAAGCCGTAAAATCTATCTACTGGACTACCCACAACGGAGTTCAGCAGTGTTGCTGGTTCAAAATTTGATAGTATTTCATGAATTGGTTCAATTAGGTTCATGAAACGGTTCACGAACCACACGTTCATGAAGTGGTTCATGGGGTTTGGGGGGGTTCATGAACTAGGTTCAAGGTTCATGAAACTACACAATTTGGCGAACTTTTCCACTCATATTGGTTCATGAGCAATCTTCACCACAAATGAGGCAGCTCATGCCTACTCCAGAGCAGTAAGCAACATTTTCCGTACTTGCACAACCACTTTCAATCAAACTAACCACCAGCTACCACTTGTGCCAGGTTTGTTGACCCAATGCATGGCCGTCTTGTTCTCAGATGCAAGCATACAGCCTGCATTTGCTAGCCATAACCCTAGGATTTGGTTCACGAACAGATTCATGAAGAGGTTCATGGGGCTGCTAAAATTGGGGTGTTCATGAACTTGTTCAGTTCATGAGCATAGCGTTACCCGAACTATTTTCATGAAGGTTGTTCACGTCCAAAACCAAATGAACCAGCAACACTGGAGTTCAGAGTCCAGAGTATGCATATATATATTTAATTATGTGAGTACTGTACTCGTACTCAGTATGTAGGCCGATTACTAGTACAAGTACTACGGAAGCCTATCACTATGGACAATCCGAATTTCGTCCCTGGGTGGGTGAGAGAAGCCACCGTTATACAGGTATGCCCACAGAGAAACATGAGTTCTACAGGTAGACTACTAGTTAGAGCTTAGCTAGTTGGTTGTGTTGCTATTCTTACTTTGAAGCAAAGCAAGGGATGGCCTTCGCTCGTTCGGCTCTTGGACGATTTAGAGGACAATGAGATGGACCAATTATTGACAGCCATTAAAACAAGCAAAAGGGACAGCCCCACAGCGGATGGATTCGAAAAACGGCTACGTTTCATTGTTCTTGCTGGTTGGTGTCAACCGGTGCTCTTTCTTCAAGGGATCAGGCAGCTCCTTTTGTCGATAGGGTAAACCGTTGCGCCTCGTTCTCTGACGACGTTGTCGTGAACCTACTAGTTTTCTTTCCACTTCTTGATGGGACAGATTGACGGCTGATGACCGAATAGTATCACGGGTACATGAAACAAAATTGTTGGAATACGAAGAGCAAACCACCTACAGGGTTTGTTTGGAGCCCTTTCGAAGAGGATTCCAACTCCCCAAAGTTGTGAATTCTTTGTTCTGTAAACCTGGGAAGACTCTGCTAGCTGATGCACTTTGACGACATCATTCTAAATGTACCGGCAGCCAGCACTGTCTTGGCGATACCTTTCCAGGGTCTGCTTATCCTGGTACGAGTAGCCACTTTTAGCTCAAGCAGCCCGTCACAAGCTACTATACTACTGTTGCTGAATGTTTTGTATTGGCCGCCGCTCTCTCCCGCCACACCTGCTGCCTTGCTTGTTTGGGTAGTACACCTTTGACAATCATGAACTACTAAACAGCAAGCATCATGGTACCAATGCGGTACCAGGGCTCATAACAGAGATGGCACAATGTGAAAAAGAAGCAACCGAATTAAGCCTGTCGGAGAGGCTCCTCGGCTCGACGGTCGCTTGAACCAAGACGATTTGGCCTCACGTCCGCGAGCGAAGCAAGCAAACTTCAAGCTCTCATAACCAGACCTGAAGGTTTCTGAGGTGGCCCCGACCAGAGCCGATATATGTGCTTCTAGAAGCCGGGAAACGAGTCCTTAACATCTCTGTACAGAAGTTTTGGCTATCATATGTTGCTTGCTTGGGTTGTAAGCCATGCAGGCAGCCAGCTAACCATTCCTTGTAACTGTATTGGCTGGTTGACTGCCTGATTGAAGTTCTGGCAATTGAAATCACCAGAGATCAATGGTATCTTCAAAGAATGACAAACGTAAGGCGAAACCTTCACTGAGAGCAGCAACGGAAAAGAAGCAAGAGGAAGCCTTCAGGGAGGTGGTAAGCTAAGCATTCTGTCGCCTTTTTATTGCCTTGCAGCGCCTCGGGTGGCGGCTTCTTGGATTCATCATTCGATTCGATCCCACCCCCAACCTTCTCCTGCGCGCCTACCGTACCACTGTCAACTCCCGCAAGAATGATTCAACCGTGAACTAGAAGCTGAGTCAGATCCGGGTTACTTCAGAAGAAAGTGGTGCGTACCACAACGAGAATGCTTTGCCGGTTGATGACAAGAGCACTTCAATGAACTTGCATCATTGGCTAACGGTGACTTGTGCGGCGACAAGAGGGCTTCATCACTCTTGACTAAAGATACCCAAGCAGCATTAGCGCAGTTGGCATTGCTGGGTTGATCGATCCTCTCCCGTGTTTGTGCGTTGTCGATTTGTCACTTTTTCAATAAGTTGCGAAGCAAATTCACTGGCGTCACAGCGGCTTAGCGACTACATTTATCAACAGAAAAAGAACATGTCCTCCATGGAACCAGTTTATTCTCCTGGAGATTGGCTGCCAACAGTGGCCTTGGCAGTGCTCATTTTTCTGGGTGTCGTCTGTGCGTTTGTCGGCATTGGTCCACTGAAAGGGGGGCCTCATAGAGTGCTAGACGTTACCAAGGATTTCGAAGAATACCGCTTGATGGAAAAGGAAGAATTGTCTCATGATACTCGCAAATTCACCTTTGCCCTACCAGAAGGATATGTCTTGGGTCTTCCCACTGGACAGCACATGACACTCAAATTCACCAACAAGGATGGCCAGGCAGTCCAACGATCCTACACTCCAGTTACGGATAATACGTCCATTGGGAAGGTATCTTTTGTCATCAAGGTTTACAAAGCAGGAGTGCATCCCAAATTTCCTGAAGGTGGCCAAATGAGTCAGCATTTGGAATCACTGTCCATCGGAGACAAAATGTTGATGAAAGGACCAAAGGGACACATGGAGTACTTTGGAAAAGGAAATTTCAAAGTCAAGCCACTGGGCAAGAAATTGCAAGAACGCTCCTGTAATGCTATTGGAATGATGGCCGGAGGAACCGGCATTACACCAATGCTGCAGATTTTGCATTTCATTTTCAGAAATCCAAACGATAAGACCAGGGTAAAAATGATCTATGCCAATCAGAGTGAGTTGAGTTGCCTCAAAAATTGTGTTGAATCTTGCTGTGTCTAGTATGCATGCTTGTTTATTCACATTTTCTTCTTTTTCCTTGTCTGGTTTTCTCCAATGGATCTGACTAAATTTGTCAGCCGAAGATGATATTTTGGTACGGGACGAGTTGGAAGCTTTGCAGAAGGAATTCCCAGATCGATTTTCTTTGCATTACACGGTGGACAAGGCCCCTGAAGGATGGAAGTTCTCTGAGGGATTCATCAATAGGGACATGATTGAAAAACATCTCATCATTCCTGGAAGTAAACAACAATTCTTCATGTGTGGTCCTCCACCCATGATCAAATTCGCTTGCATTCCAGGGCTCGCTGAGCTTGGATTTTCGGATCAGGATCATGTAACGTTCTAAAAAGACAAGACAAAAACATTCCCAGACTAAGGTATAATTCTTATTTTTATTGTTTGTAGTGCGGGCCGCTGTGCCACTGGTTGGTGAAGTCAAGATGTGCGGACTGGAGTGATTGTGTGACTCGGACGAGAGGTCTTTTATTGGAACGCAAAGGCAACTTCTGTGCTGTTAGGGATTCATGATCAGTCTTTGATTTCCTGATCCAATCTTCGAGAGTAACTTCTATTCGATAATTATTGATACAGAAAAAATCTCTCTAGCTAGCTAGCTGCTGGCCATCCAGCGAGAAAGCAACAGACATGTTCGTGGGGGTTTATCAGCTGCGGATTGGTCCTCGATTAATACCCCTGATCCCACATACAGAGCCCAGCCCTGAATTTCCCCCTCTTCTTTGCTTTTAAAATTAAAAGCCTGGCCCTGGCTGGATTCTGTAGATACATGTAATCCACCTACCTAAACCCCTTTTTTGGCTGGGGATTGTGGTGAGGGAAGCCACAGGATGGGGGGGATGCGGTGGATCTACGTACGTACCGGTGGCGTCTGTCCGGTGTCACGGTGTCACTGTTTCTAAAGGTTGAGCGACCGAATCGAGTCAATTTTTGATCGAATAAATGTTTCGAAGAGTGTTCGATTTACTACGGAAAAGATCCGAAAGATATGGTACACTTCACACTTCAGAACCATCAACAATAGAAATGCAGAGATACCCACATCGGGATGCTATGTCCATTTCCCTAAGAACTGGGACCTGGAACGTTTACAGGGAGAGCTGATCATGTACCGTTGATAGCTGTTGTGAGTATTAAAGGTGTACATGTAGCTTGCATTGGGACCCGCCTGATCTTACAGAGACGTCAGAGCCATTCAGATACCGGTATCTGATAGTAGACCAGGCGCTCCGGCACTATGAGTAGCACAGCAATGACAGCGTTCAATCATCTTCAGGAAAGTGGAATGGCCACTGCATTGTCCATAGATCAATGGCTTCCCACCAAAGAATCCAAGTGCGACTACGAGGAATTTCCAGACCTATCTGTCAACTCTCTCTGCATGCATCCACCAGCAACTCAGCAAGATCATCCTCCCAATAAGGCGGCTGCTGCCCGCTACCAAGAGATCTTCATCGACTTGGTCGGTATGCATTGTGCCTCCTTGGATGCAGCATCACGGCATGTACTGGACGACCGTTTTGACTCCTGTTTGCAAAAGGGAGAACGGGAGTTCAAGGATTCCTTGCTAGAATTTCTGGCCAACCAGAGCAAGGAAGCCCAAGCTACACGGGCCTTTCAGTACCTGGAAGAGACGCTGCAAAAAAACATGGGGTACAATGCAGGTTTGCTAAGGCCTAGGAAGAATACTACACGAGCCAAGTGTATGCCCTCGGACAGTGCGGAAATAGAGACAACATCGGAATCACTGGTGCAACCTCCTATGCCCCAAAGAGAAGGGCCTGCATATCGAAGTTCTACATGCACTAACAATCCTGGCCATGTCTTTGTCTGCAATGCTTCTGTGTGTGACTTACAATGTGATGCCTTTTTATGCCCGGCTCAAATATCACACAAGAAGGGTCGCCTCAATGGGACCATTGCCAGTAGGTGGCGAAAGAACATCTTGGGCCAAAACCAAGTCCTCCTAGACAGCATTCCGTTTGAAGGGCCATGGAAGTTCAAGACTTATCCATCTCATCAGCGGGTAATTACATTCCGAGATTGGCCGTGGCAAGGGCTCCAGAAAAGCGGGAAAACACCCAATCCGTTTCTTGTTGCCGGAGAAGTGTCCTTGGAAAAGTCGCGAGAGTTTGCCGACATGTCAAAAAAAGCAGCACGACAAGGTGAACTCCCTCCCAAGGAGTTGCATATTGAAGCCTTGATGGAAACAGTACGACAGTTCCTGACTGTGGCCGTCCAAGAGCTGCAGGAGAATCAACCGTCACCGGGCACTTTCAGGGAACGCTATCTACTGGCAATACCAGTGTTAGGAACTGGAGGTGGGTGTGCAGGGGACCTAGCGGGACAAATTGTGACCAAATTATTGCAAACTTTGTCCGACTTTGTAGTACAAAGAGAAGATGTGGATGTCGCCTTGGTTTGCGCCGATGAAGCCATGTATGCCCGCGCTCAGACTCTTCGCAAGGATGTAATGGATGAGGAGACTCTGCCCAGCCCCGCTGAATCATCACCGGCTACTGCCAAGCAAGTGCCATTGGACTGGACTATCCCATGCTTTCAGCATTTGGGACGAGGCTTGCAAGTCAATGCTTTGCAGTTGGCTCAGTTGGCTTCCAAGCAACAATTAGCACTGTTTATCGGAGCAGGAGTGAGCATTGGATCCGGGTTGCCGGGTTGGTTTGGATTGCTTCATAAGATTGAAGATGCTTTCGACTTCCCTGTGCCAAGACAGCTCGGAGAGGAATGTGGATGGGATCCTTTGAAAATGGCTGCGAAATTGGATGAGGTTTGCAAGAGTTCGCTTGACAATCAGGGAGAGAGTTTGCCCCTGAAGCAGAGACTTTGTAGCTATATCAAAGAGAGTGCCCACTGCCCAGGACTTCTCCTGTCATTACTCATGTCTCTTCCGTGTGATTCTACGGTTACCCAAAACTATGACCAATTGATTGAGAAAGCCTGTGAATGTCAGAATATTGTGCATGTTCTCAAAAGTTCTCCGACAACACCTGCAGAACTCTCTGTGATTCCTTATCAACCAAAGAGGAAAGCCACTCAGTGGCTATTGAAGATGCATGGTTGCGTAAGCGTACCTGACGAGATAGTGATCACAAGGGAGGATTATGAAACCTACGAATCATCTCGGGGAGCTCTGGGTGGATTGGTGCAAGCAAGTCTCATGACGAAGCATCTGATATTCGTTGGTTTTAGTCTCACTGATCCCAACTATCTAAGAATCGTCGACGAGGTTCGAGCAGCCCTACGCCCACCCACCGGGACGACCAGCTAGTAGGTTGACACCCAGAAAGAGAAAAAACCCCAATATCGTACTCAATCCATCAATGTCAAATGTTTAATCTATTTTCCTACTAAAAAGAGGTTGCTGTATACCTTGCTTCGTCGCAACCTTAGCACAACTGTATCGAACCCCTTGGGACCGTAATTTTGCCGCTCCCGGATGCCACGACGATATGCCGGAGCAATTCTACAGTTGTCGCATTCTGGTCGTCGCAAAAGCTTGCCTCGAACTGCCCAATTCATAATCCTAAACGTCGGGGACCCTTTTTTCACTGCGATCTCAGTGGATAAGTTGTGAGATCATTCCAAGCAATGCGTCATCGTCCAAATTGAATTCGTTTCCGAGGTCGTCGAGTTCGCGATCCAAATCGCCTTGGTCAATTGCATCGAGTTCCTTGGTGTCTTCCTCTTCCAAACGGTCTTGAGCTGCCATGGCACGTTCAGCGGCGACACAAGGAGAACATGCCATGAGCACAAAACCTTGACACCCACGGCACGCGCAGAGCACAGTTTCGCCCAAATCGATCAGGAATTTTCCAGAATTGATATTTGGGAACTGTTCCTGTTCCTCTGCCGAGGACAATCCACCCTTGACCAAGATGTCAAAGGTTGGTCGCGGAATCCCATGACAACGCAATTTGACAGGGAGCTTTCGGCGATGAATTGTCAAGAGTTTGCGCACTGCAATGAAAGTGTCCAACGCTTCTTCGAACATTGCCGCTTCCATCTCTCCCATTGCTCCATTTGCGATTTTCTCGGCATACATTCCATTCAACAAGTGGCACAACAGGACAGCCGCATTCGTTACCATGTGATACGACGGACCAGCGTGGTACAGCAAAAATGGGTTTTCAATCGCTGTATTGCAAACACTCAACAGGCTCTGAATCTGAGAGTCGGTAAAGCCACCGGATTCGTCATCTTCGTTGTTTTCCAAGAACGCGTCCATCGCAGAAATCACCATACGCTGCCCTCGATTCTTATGGAAGGAAGCTGCCGTAAGGGATTCGTGTTGCTGCATCAATGTGAAGGCGCTCAGTATGAGATTACGACTGCAGAGTTCATTGTTGTTTGCAAGGACGGCCGTTGTGGTTGGTGTGTTGGCGGCGTTACTATTTGGATCTTCCGTGATTTGTTCTTCTCCTCTCTCGGCTGCACGAGCAACTGCGGCAAAGCGACTGTTGGCCTGATCACAGCAGGTCCTAACGGCACAAGCGAGAGCGTCCAAGGCACGGGACGGCAACGGTGCTTCGTTGTTGAGGTAAACCGGGGGAGCCCCTTGAATCCAGTTCTGGTTCTGCGGATCGCTGGCAATTTTGCTGCAAGCTCCAGTTCCGCAACCACCTTGAATAGCAGAAGGGATCGATCCGTCGACCGCTGGAAGTTTCTCCTCGTCTGCGTTGTAAATCATGTAAGCCCATGCATCCAAATACGAGACTGCTGCCATGAGAACTTGTGTCTCCGTGGCATCCTAGCAAAAGAGGAAAAAGAGAGAAACAAATACGAACAAAAACTCAGCACAGAAATTGTCTTGTCAATGTAAAAGACAAAAAAGACAAAACGTACCGGCAATTTTGCGGCGTAGGTCATGGCGACACGTCGGTATTTAAAATACCGCTCCATGTCTCCACGACAAGCCCGAAAGACTCCCAACAAAAAGTACGCTCGAGTGACTTCGAAGAGGTAGGAATCTTGCACCGGCTCGGCGACGCATTCTCGAAGGCAGTGAACGACGGCATTGCAAAGTTCCATGGCCATACTGAGTTCCTGATGAACGACGGCTCCCAACGCGACTTCGGCAAAACGGGAGGCGCTGAGGGCCGCCAAATGCGCTTTGGGCATGGTGGCGGCCGTCATACTGGGCTTTCCGGGATTGGCGGCATTCCACTTGGCACAATACTCGTCATTCTCGGGAGTCAACGGCAGACGATACAACTCGTCGATACTCAAACGATAGTAGGATCGAAGACGATTGCCTTCCGCGTCGTTGCGATCCAACAAGTGCGTGTGCGAGGCAATGGTTTTGGGAATTTCATTGCCATTGCTCGGGGTCGTAGCATCAACTTCGCGCCTCACTCGTTGGGCAGAACGGTGACCACTGCCGCTGTCATCCTGCTGCATGGGCTCGGTGCTGCCCGCCGCTTGTTGTTGCAGTTTCTGGATCAAGGTCATTTGAGTCGATCCAATCATTTGCTGCACTTGCTGTGCCATAGTGTCGGACGAGGACGCTATCGCCGGCGGTTGGTCGACATCCATGGCAGCAGTTCCATTGGTGAAAGCATCCCCCGCCTTGCGAGTCTGACCGCTTTTTCCAGGTACGGGTCCACGACGTTTTGCGGGAGAGTAAACGCATTCGAATTCGGTAAAGTCCACTCCTTCGATGCTACGTTGGTATGGAACAAGCAAGAAAAAACGTAAGTAGTGTTAGTACACGGATCATGAATGGCAGGCACAATCTGTATTGAGATCCTGACAATAGGTAGCCCGCAAACAGAACACGAGGGGCACAATTTGCTTTGCTACCACTCCTCTTGAAAGCTCGATCAAAAAGAACCCCGCTGATTCTCAATTCCAAATGCCGCCTTATCAAGGTATCCCTTCAATGATAGCTAGCGCCTGTCTCTTTTAAAAAGACAGCAGGCGAAATTGCCAGCTAAGAATTCTAAAAGCTAGGACGTACCTGAAAGGTTGCAAAAAGAAATAGATAAAATGGTGAGAACCTCTTGCATGCAAATAGCCAAGACAAGCAATCATCATCGCACTGCCATTCAAAAACCAAACTGTCTGATGCGGAACCTTCAGGCACCATCTAGCTAGATAGCCACTACGCTGTGTAATAAGGCCATTCAGCTCTCGTTTACTAGTGCCCAGACGAAAATCCAACCTTTCCCTCTCTGACCTTTCTCTCCTTCCTGATTCTCGCAGGTCCTCGTCCTCTTCCATCGCTCCGACAGACAGACACGCAGCAGTACCATCGCACACACACACGCAGCGTCTGACAAACTGAGTAAATCGAGAACCTACCTCGATAGCTTGTGCTTCTTCATGTACTTGTTCGCGCAGTTTCCACAGGGCCGCTTGCCATCGCACTTGGTCTTTCGGGAACGACAGCGATCGCAGCTCGCACACAACGCAATCGAGCCGTCATTCTTGTGCTGAAGGTCGTCCGTAGCCATGGTTTCAATTATACAGTGAGTATAGTATAGTAGTCTCGACCCGGAGCGGCGCCGCGGATCCTGTCGTATCGTCTGTTCTTCAAGCAGCAATGGACCTGACAGGCTAGCTGATCAACACGAGTAGGTTCTTGACTTGCTCTATCACAGAAATGGTACTGTAGACTAACAACAAACAATAGATCAATCAATCCCAACAACTCCAACCAAAAAGAGAGTGAGTTCGAAGGCCTGCTAGCTAGCCATGTGTCTTCTTCGATCCTTCGATCATCTGGTCGATCCTTCTATGGAAGAAGCGAAGAAGGCGAAGAAGCCTCGCAGTCATATCCAGCGCAGTCATGAGGCGTCATATTCGGAAGCACGGCGGTGGTCGCCTAAAAGCGTTAAGGATTTCTGTGTTTGCGACAACTCAGACTGATGAAGAATTAGAGATATAGGCGGTTCCTGTTTACAAAACGAGTTCAAGCTGCGTGACTGAGGCCACTCTGCCTCCTGTCCGGTCCCGCCCTGATGAAGCCTCCAAGATCCAAAATTCGATTCAGAACGGTAGCGGTATGTTGACAACCCGTAGAGCTACACGTACATGTAAAACCATAGAGAATCACCGGTGCCGCCCCGGACCTCCATCCGCCTCCAAGAGTGCCATTTGACATCTATCGTAGGTACTGTGCATGTGGTACATGATGTATATGCAAGTCCGGAACGACGCCAAGCAACGGTTCTGCCAATTGATAAGCACATATCCCTACCGGTGCCGTACCACCATGCGTTAAAAACTATGAACCGAGATCCTGAGTTGATTGAGATGGTGCTACGGAAAGCGTATGAGTTTGGTGTAAAAGACTAGAGTACGGTACGACCAGATCTACGTTGTCTAGATTTCGTTCTCTCGACGGTTCTTTATTCCTACTCGGGCCAAGCAAAGATGCCAAACCGAGTTCTGGTGCTGCCGTCAAAACCGACGACCACCCCAGGAAAACTCGTACAGCTAGCTACAAACTGATTTTCTTCATTGCAATCTCCAAGTTGCGCATCTCACGTTCCCGCATCGTTTTCTTCGCCTTTGGATGGTGACGTTTGAGCCAAAACGAGTGCTGCGAGTTGCCTAGTTTCAGGGATGGGCCGTCAATCACATGAACGGATTCGTTTCCTTCCAGCAGAGAGACTATCTGTGCCATGGCGGCACACTCACCAATGCTTAGTACTTGAGGACAATGGTTCTCACTGACAGGAACAAGTTTGAAGACGAGATTGCAAGCGAGCAGGGTAATAGTTCGACTAGTGATGCCAACTTTCACGGCGGACTGGGGTTTCAATGCGTTCAGCAGGTAAAGCTCAACATCCTTGGTGGAAAGGTTTTCCAATGGATAGTCGACACTCCAGCAGTTGCGCAGACCGTCAGGAAAGGCATCCGCCTCGGCCCTGAAGTAGCCACTGTCACCGAAGTCTTTACCCCAGCTGTTTTTGAAACGAAAGATTGTATTTTCGCCGTCTTCAAAACCTGTAATGACGATTGCATGCCCAACACCAATGGTCTGCGAATACCGTGGTTCAGTAGGGCGATCTAATGACCACAACCGAAAGTCCTGCTTTGTGAGAACAGCATCTGGGCTCTTCTTGAAATGATCGAAAAATTTGCGCCAAAGGTACTTGGGCAACCAGAATTCAGCAACCACAGCACGTTGCTTCAGTAACGCGGACTTTATCTCGCTTTCACCCTGTAACCTTTCACAAACGAAGCCTTCGATTTTACTGAAGTGCTGCAGTACTTTTTTGGTGTAAGCTCCTTTGCAGCCAAACTTTTTGATGATCTTCGTGAGCCAGGAAGCGTGCGTTTTCGGAGTGAGCCCTAGCGACAGCCTGGCAGCCCGGATTGCAGTGGCACAAGCATGGGCATAGCAAGTCTCCGTTGTTTGACGATGCACATCAACTGACACAGGGACTGTCTCGATATCAGTGTGGTTGCTTTCTTCCTCTTCGCTCGCAACTTTGTGTAGCAGTTGATTGGTAACTTCGGTTAGTTCCGATACCTCGGACTCCGAGGAAGACGTCTGCGCTATAGATGGAATGTGCGCCATTACATGCATTGATGCGATAATAGAATGTTGACGACGACGAGATGAGATTGCATTGGTGAAACTCTGTCTTGATTGTCGAAACAAATAAATGAGACCAGAAGGGGACTTTCGCGATGGACGGTTTGAAATCGTTCGCATGAAAACCCATGAGCGATCATCATGGGGATATGTTTTTTTCATTTTCTTGCAACAACCAATCTCAACGTTTGATGCCAGCAGATAGAGGCGATGGCTTTTGAGTTTGCATGCGGTCAGGTGACGAGAACTGTGTGGCTGCTTCGCAGATGATTGACGTCGCCTCGATCGACTCCGCCTCTACACCGGACCGAAGATCTTTTCAAGAATGCGAGAACATATCCATGCAAGAAAAAGGCCCGGGCGAAGGGAGAAACACGAGTGTGAATTCATGGCTTCCTCCTCTTATAGCCTCCCACGGACAGCCTGGTGCAATTGATCTGAGCGTACTAGTACGGCAATCTGGAAAATCGACGACTATGATTGCAATTCACAAATAGGTGGACAGGAGGAAAGAGACCAAGAATTGCTTTTGGCTGCCAGTGCAAGTGCAAGTGGTGAATCTTTATATTACATAAATGGTTGCTCATCTCACTGTCACCGGGATTGAATTAATCAAATCCTGTAACTTGAGCACATTTGGGCTTTCGATACCTTCTCCATTTTTCGTAGCCAACAGCTCTTGATTCAGATAGGAGCGTGCTCGTCGTTCCGATTCTTCTAGCAAGCGTCCTCTAGAATCCCGTCTCAGCAATAGACACGCCTGGTACCCGTAGTGAAGGATTGGCTTTACGTATTCTCCTCCTGCAGTGGTCCCGAACCCTTGCTCTCTCAAGAGAAGCAAACATCTTTCCACAGACTCAAGGACACGTTCTGCCGTTTCTCCACCACCCGCTTCGTCTGTATCGGACGACGCTGCTGCTGCCGTCGCCAACAAGAGGGGTATTTCCTGCTGTCTCGAATTCAACTCATTCATGCGTCTGTCGCCGTCATTGTTGCCCTGCGGGTCGCTTTCGGTGCACATGTGACACCCACACTCAAAAGAGAAGCGTTCGCTGAGATATGCCCGTCGTCCGGCCGTGTCAAGGCACTCTCCCGATGTCCCGTACGTGATACAGATCTCTTCCCCTACATCAATGTCTTGTGTGGCATATACGGTCTTTGCTTGCAGATCGGCTCTCCAACTATGATTTGCATTGGGCCGGCAGGAATGGTTGATGCGACAAATCGTTAGAAACAAGCCTCCGCAATTATTGCTTTCTTCTTCTCCCAATCGAAAGCTGTTTGTCTGATACACTCCCACTATTTCTTGCTGACCAGGTTGTTCCACTGCTTGTGTCGTTGTTGTCGATGGATAACTATTCGCCAATTCTAGAACGAATTGTTTCGTTTCGGCGGACAACCGGTCAAACGACTGATGGACTGCCACACTATGCATGGCTTTCGCTTCTTCCAGGCTGACAGCGGCCTGCTGGTTTGGAACTCTCATGACGGCGTGCTCTCTCAAAATCTCGTCTCCGCAGGAATATTTTCGCAGGGACCGCAACCCCATGCCTCTATTACAGTCGTTATTGCTATTGGCAGCAGTACTCGTGTCAAAGACTTCAAAATCGGGACTGATCACAGGTCGCCGATTGCGATGAGCTGCTGCAGCAGCATCCGTTGCCATTTGTCGCATATGTGCATCTTCTAGTAGTCGTCGGCGTTGCTCATCGTCGCTGCTGCTGCTGCCTGTTGGTGGATTGACGCTCTCTTGCGACGACACCTCCGACTCTTCCGAGTCGCTACCGAAGCACCCAAAGTCATCGTCATTGACTGTCATTGTTGTTCTACCGTATGCTAGACTACTAGCTAGCTAGTCTGTAGCTATGAAACTCACTCAATTGCTGATCTTTGATGGTACCGCCATCTCCATGGTTACCATGCATCGACTTTTTGATTTGATTTGCAAAGAAAATCGACCCAGAACTTTTTTCTCGTGGCTCCAAAGATATCACCCGACGGTAGGCAGGCAGACTTCTGGCAATCGCGAGTACCAGTAAAAGACGAATGACGTCAGCTGCATCCAAGAAGTTCCACGTTCTGCCTGCGTTTTACAAAGATCCATATTTTCTCCTCACCAGTACGGTACGAATCGAATCGAATCATGTAGACTGTCACTCGACTGTCACTCGACTCTCAGCATGAACGAGGAGGAGAAGGACACTCCAGAGTCTCAGTCGAGTCGAGTCGAGTTCTCAGACGAGAAGTCTGTTGTTCTGGGATCTCTGCATAGCCACTTTTATTACATGTTTGCCGTGTCAACTGCGGTTGCAAATTCGAGAGTCCTCCTCATCCAGCTGCAGCCCCTTCACATAAGAATGGTCACACAATATCCAGCGCGTGTCTGTCCGTCGCCCGTCAAAATGTGAGGTACCTCTAAAAAACTTTTATTCGCGGAACGTCTTCGTAACATATAGAGCTATCCAGCGATGTATTGAACATACCTAGAGTCGGCCCAGTTACTGAGTAATGCCTAACCGACCCTTTTAAGTCCGTCGGTGCGATTCGGTTAATCGTGCAGCATTGGCCGACTCCCACACTATCCAGACCACTCTTACACGACTTTTCCTCGCACTATCGTTCGAACGAAAGAACTGCTTCCGACCTCACCAAAGATGGTGAATAGCGGCCTACTTTGACCATGACAGAGCCTCCGAACCCCCCCAACACCACTATTGACAGCCTTGCAATCAGCCCTGTGAGGAAGATCCACTCTCCAGGCATTCGAAACAAGATACTTCGAGGGAACAAGTGCAAAAATCCACCCAACGTGGAAGAGCTGAAAGAAGAAATTCGCATCTGGCTAGTTGGCTATCGAGCCCTTGATCATTGCGTGTCAGTGAAGAACAGCGGCAGAGACAAAGCATGCACCTGTTGCCATGACATTCCAGAGCATGGGACTTACAATTTCACTGTTATTGTGAATTCCCTTTTTGCTTTCGCCCTGAGAGATCGGAATGGTCAGATTTCATGGGTGGCGGAGTGGATCAAGTACACCAAGAGGCAGCTGAAGCACAAGCATCTATTGAACAAGGAAGAACAAGCAAGATGCTACCTCATGCCAGGGATCTTCCTCGCCTCAGTGACATGCTGCCGTGATACTCTGATGAGAATGATTGGATTCGGTTATGAGAAATGGAAGACTTGCGAGAATATTGCCGACGGCAAGCGAATTGCATCACACGGCAATGATGGAAGGGCACACAGAAGCCAAGTGGTTGTGGACAATGCTTTGGTGGGATTCTTCGAATCAATGAAACAGCTTGCATGTCCAAGGGCAACTCTCTTTATTAGAGACCTTGTCGGTGACAAAGTGCAGAATTCGCTGAAAGATGACAATGACGAGTTGCTGGAACTCCCGTCGTGCAACTCAAAAAGGCAACTGTATGGAAGATTTATCCAAGAAAGGGGATACCGATATGTCATTGATTCCAAGGGAGCAGTGTCCAGAAACGTTCCGATGCCTGGCATGGAACAGCAGCCGGTATGTAGTTGGGCCAAGTTTCACAAGTATTGGTCCAAGAACTATTCCATCTTGGTGGTTTGTCGGCCAAGGGAAGACATTTGCAACGAATGCTTCAAGCATGCGAACCGGCACAAGTATCTTGTGACACGTCTTCAAGCGAAAGAGGATAGACAAGCCATCGTGGACAGAATGCATCTTGCTGGCGACTCAGATGAGGAAGAGGACAACGAAGAAGAAGAAGTGGATCAACAGCAACAGCAAGTCGTCCAAGCGCCACAAGGGATTCCAACAGTGCCAACAAGAGCAGAGCATGAGAGGGAGATGCTACTCAAGGAACAAATGGAGCTCTTGAACAGGAGCGCTCATCATGTCACAATGTACAACGATCAGAGGGAACTCTTCCAGCAATACAAGCAGTTGGCCATCAGTACTAAAGACAAGCCACCACAAGAGCGAACACTTTGCTTTGTGGCTGACTATGCACAGAACATGGGGATACCATCGTTTGGCTTCGAGCAACCTGGCGAAACCTACTATTACAGCCCTCTGAATACGTTTTGCTTTGGTGTGGTGGACACTTCTGTTGATAAACTTGGCGCTTATGTCTACACAGAGGATGTCGCGAAGAAAGGTGGCAACAACGTGGCATCATTGCTCTGGCTACACCTTCAACAGTCAGGAGTACTCTACACTACAGAGCCATTCAAAGAGATCACGTTCTTCTTCGACAACTGTCCTGGCCAAAACAAGAACAACATGGTCATACGTCTTATCTACTTGCTTGTCAAGCTTGGAGTGGCCAAGGTGGCCAAGTGTTGCTTCCTCATTCGAGGGCACACAAAGAACGATTGTGATCGGCTGTTCAATGTCATGAAGAAGGACTATCGAAAGGTGTGTATGCGGCGCTGTTATCTGTTCGCTTCTACACTGACGCCATTGTTCTTCCCATGAAAACCTGAAATGAATTCGTCTCACCTACTCCTCCATCCTACTGCTTTCTAGGCAAACATCTATCTTCCTGAAGACATGGTGGAAGCGCTTACCCATGAGCTAGTGCAGCCGGTATGGGTGTCAGCCGATGATATGTTTGACTTCGATAAGTATGAAAATCAGTATCTTTACAGGATTAAGAGCGGTGTCGATGACAACCATGTCTTCATGGCTTCTTCAACCATGGACAACGGCGCCAAGCTAATGATCCAGGAGTGGGTAAAGGGAGAACCGGTCTATGAGACCATTCAAAAGAAGTCCATCACGAAGAAGATTGAGAAGGATCCTCAATGGGACTCTAAGCAAAGCTGGCTCCTTCGTATGAAGGAGCTTCAACCTATTGATCCAATCGGCGTTCAAGACATCAAGTGGATAGAACTCCATGACAAATGGGGCCCTCTCATCCCCGAGGACAAACGAAAGGCATTCAAATGGTACAACGAAGACCCAGGAGAAGAAAGACGCGAAAAGGTAAAGAGCAACTGAAAGGCATCTAAAGGCGCCAGAGCAGCCAGGACCATCACTGCTGGTGCCATCTAGTCTAATACAAGTCTAGTCAATGAAAGATAATGAGTTTCTTATATGGTAAGAGCTTGAAAATGGTGCTAGAACGCTTGTGAGCTTCATTCTGTATCTCACTTTTTGGTTTTTCGCGATTATCTCAAGATGCGAAAACTGGATTCTCCGGACCATGACAGACGGTTGGTGGCTGGTTTTTGTGTGGCCATTCTTACATACATGATCAGCAGAACCACAAAAGTTCTGGGCACCTCTAGCCACATCTAGCCACATCTAGCCAGCTAGCTGGAGCTCAAGGCCAAGGTTTATCAATGGGTTGATTGAGAAGCACCAGCCGGGTTTGAGCAGTTGAAGCCGCTCCTTGCTCCCATGCCAAGCCCCAAGCAAGCTGAAACTTCTGGGGTGCGGAGAAAATCAAGGCTTCAACGACCGGTAGTGGGCCAAATACCGTGCGTGGCAGCTCATCACACGCACAGTGGTACGGTACATGACATTTTATAATACAGCCCTCCGCACTTATTAGAATCTAACCACTGAGCTAATATTCTGAGTATCGTACGAGTACTATCAGACGTCGTATTGAGAAGGCTAACCACTACTCGAGTAGCCAGCCACTATTACCCCGCCCGGTAAAGAAGGAAATTTGGGTAATAGCCCCGTATACCCGTGAATCGAGTAGTTATCACTGTTATTTTAAAACCCGTTTTGTTGGCGATGTACTTAAAACCACTACCCCAATGTCATGAATCGAGATATTCCTTTGGATATTCCCACCTCGATTGAATCAGGGGTGCCAAACCTTTCCCTGAACTTCTATGATGCCCAGTCTAGCTTTGACTTTCAGAATGCTATTCTATCCCTTGATCTTGAAGAGCTGCACCTGGCTTCCCAGGTTGGGGATTGCAGAAAAATCACGAACACCCAAGACCCTGAAGACTACAAGACTTGCTTCCATGTCTACCAAGAACTCTGGCCCGATGATTTTCCTGCTGGGTTTGAGATCAAAGGAGCTGAGCCATTCAGGGAACTGGGGGTGATGGGAGAATCCTCAATGTTTATCCCCCTCTTTGCTGCAGAACAGGATCCATCCCTTGTCTCTTATGTTGGTTTGAGAGGACAGGAGAATAGGCATAAGATTGCTGAGACCTTCAAGCGACCAACCCGTTGGGGGCAGTACTGCCGGGAAGTGTCCCCAACAAGCTGTGCCGAATCAGATCCCATAGCACAACGAGCACCAGAAACAGTAGAGGAAGAGAACGGCTTTTTTGTGGAGGGATTCTACAATGGCCACTTTCGTCACACCGAAGAGAGCAACTGTGACAAGTATCCAACAAATTGTACTGGCCACTTTGTGGACTATGATTGTAATTATGCTTCTTTTGCACAACCAAATGCACACCACCTGGATATTGCCTTTGCCTTTGAAGGGCCGGAGCCAAATGGCGGCTATGCCTTGGCTGAAGCTGTCCAAATTTGGGCTGCTGCCAATGCCACAAAATCCCCTGTGGCTTTCATGTGGTTTGCTCCAGAACCAATGCTTGAGTCATTCATAGGGACAGAGGCTGAGTTCACAAAGGTTCTATTTCCAACAGCAACACAGGACTGCATTGACCACCGCATTGACTTTCGTATTCTTTGTGATCCCGAAGCCACATTTGAGGAGAAGATGGGGGATCCACGGGGTGTCTGTGACACATATCCACGTGCCCTAAAGAATGCTATTAGCAGTGGTGTGGTTGACATGTCAGCAGATCCAAATGTTGATGAAGCGTTCTGGAGTCCAGCCTATGAGGTTGTTAGCCACCTGAAGGTGGACAACCTGCAATTGGATCAGATCTTCGAGTATTGGAAAGAGCAGGGCAGAGACACATGGAACTTTGATCCAAGGGCAGCCGTTTGCCAGTGGGTTGGTGAGAACTTGGAATATCTTCAAGCCTACATCCCAGAATCCCATCCCCGAGTAATTGAAGAGGTTGGCGGTTCGAGCGAGTCACTCTTCAAGGCTGCCTTGGCTATTGCTGCATCTAAGAAGCGCATAATGGGGTAGCGCGAAAACAGCGAGGTCGGTTACAAAATTGCCAGGTCAGTCGATGGTAAGGTTACCAATCGGTAACTGACCTCGCGCTTATGTATGGTGGGTACAAAAAGAAGGACAGACGTACGTAATTGAGTTGGTTTTGCTTGCGGATTGTCTGATGCACCTTGCAAATCTCACACCGCTACCTCCCTTTTCTTGCTGTGCTGACATAGGTATTAAGTCCAAGCGCAAACTTTCATCAAGCTCTGGTCACTCTATTGCAGTCAAGACCCTCAATGTTGTACGCAACTATGTTTGAACCGAATCTTTGAGCATGTCAAGAAGCTTGTCAGGTACATGGAGTGGAAAAGTTCCAAACCATGATTGAGGTCCTGAAGGTGATCAAGCGGGATGCCATCTTGTTGCCACCTGGAGAGGGAGCCACTGAGGGTGGCGAAGGCACAGCATGAGCGACTCATGTTTGTTGCTAAATGGATGTGGGATTGCCTCTTTGCTCAGGCTGGTGGTGCATCCAAGTTTTGGAGGAAGGCAGTTCGCAAGAACTACATCATTTCGAAGCCAGGGTTGATGGTTTGGAGCTTTCCCTCCCAATTCGGAAGCATTTGCTGCCCTCGCCTTCGAGAATGGTTACACAGCGGAACCAGGGTGCTGTGGACAATGAAGGCAACCCTACCAATGGAAAGTGCACAGTACTTCAAGGTTACCAATGGCTTCACCTTGGACGTGAAGTTGCCTCGCTCCAGAAAAGCAGATGATCCGGAGGGAGTTTATGAAGGGAGGTACTCCAGTTCCAGGCTGGATCTTCTGCTTTGGAGGGTGGGGTGATAAAGGCCTTCGCCGCTCAAGGATTTGCAGAAGCTTGTCAAGGAATCTAGAGCCCAGGACCATGCTAAATTGGTGGAGCGGGCCATCCTTGCTCGTGTGCGCAAGGACATCTACAAGATTCCTGATAGTGTCGATGCTGGAACTGAGGACTCGAAGAAGCGCAAGCGCCAGAGTCCAGTGTGAATCTTGATGAGATTGATGATTAGGTTGCCCCTTGGCAACCTAGGACCCATCATTTGGTGGGGTCCTACCCAGGCTTTTGGTGGCTTCCCTCCACTTTCTTCAATTTCATTTTCTCCCCTTTTAGCAGGGCTTCCAAGACGACTTTGTTACCTATGGCGTCCTTGTTTGGTTGCCCCAGCCGTCCTGTTTTGGAATCATTTGGACCCTTTTCTCGGACCTATGGATGCCCGTACCGTTACAGTTGGTTACATATGAGTGACCTGTTTCTCCCCTTTTACTACGAACATTATGTCATTGTTCGCTTACCTCCACTACTCTGTTATTAGTAGTACCATAACGAATTTAGCCCCAATCATATCCAACATTGTGTACTGCTTTTCTCCATTTTGGAAACCCCTACTTATAGATTTAGTAACCTAGGACTCTTTCATTTGGGAAGGAATGGCTGAGCTGTTTTGGATTCCGGGCTTGGGGAATAGCCTACAACTACCCTTCTGTAATTAGCATCACAAAGTGCATCAACTTGTAAGCCATGTATAGAAGGGGAACGGAATTCGGTAGAGGAATAGTGAACACTTAGTTCAACATTTCTGTAACCGTTACGCCAATGACTTGTGCTGCAATTGCATCTGTATATGCCTGAGTCGATCGTCTTCAATTAGTAGGATAAGAGGTTCTTGAATATTGCACAGCTGACCTCACAAAATGGGAAGGATCATTCCTCGGTGTTC